AGAGCAGATAGCCTTGAACACTCGCTATAATGAGCATGCTTTTAGTTGTCAATACAAGGAAGAACAATGTGTGGAATAGGAGGCTGTGCGAGGTTTTGAACAACAGCAGTAATTACCTGAAACCTGACAAACAGTGGAGGCCTTCTGTGGAGGCGGCAGAATGCAGCGAGGCTCTTATCAGAAGGCGAGGTGGAGGTAATAATGGGATAATTGTTTTGGACCTAGCTACCTCTCCCGTTGCTACCTGCTAACTTCTGCTGGCACCGACAGGTTCAACTTGGCAGTATGGAGCTGTCATGTGGTCCTCTGTCTGTGTGTGTTTTAGGAGGTTTGTGTTGGAGTGTCAGACCTACGAGTGTGTTTGTTTGGCGAAGGTTGGCAAATTATACCATGTTGTCTGGATAGCGAGAGAGCCAGAAAGCAAGCAGGACACAAATTAAATCCCCCTTTCATCAATCTCCACACCTGCATCTCTCAATCCCTGCCAGAATCATCTCTTGCTCTCTTTCAGGTTATCATTTTCAAGGATGCTCTTCACGGCATTCAGAAAGGCAGCAGTTGATTGTGGTGCAAGAAAGAGAAAGTGGATAGACATTTTGCAGAAAAGGTCATGAGCTGAATATAAATCGTAAAACACTGCAAACACCACCATGCAGCACCTTTCCTCTTTCCTTAATGTCATCCTTGTTAATGGATCCCAAAGAATATTACATTTCCGTGCTCAATGCAATATCAATATTTGAAAGCGCATTTTTATTTAAATTGAAAATCTGGACATTTTGACAAGAAAACCTATTGAAAAATGTGCTTTGCAGTAAATCACACTTACTATTCTTATATATTTGCTAGTACGAAAACAGTTTTATTCTGTCTCCTAGAAATTGCTTGTATAAAATGTCATTTAGCAACCACACAGGATAAAAATTATTATTATGACCTGGCAAGTCACACAAGTATGTAGATAGTGAACTTCTCAGGAAAAATGTTATCACAATATCTGATCTTGCATCTGCTTGTATGATTACAGCATTATAAAACCTTTATTTTGATTTGTTTACCAACCTTTGACAGCATTTCAATTCCTTAGGGTTAAACCTGGTTTTAACCACTGCCAAGAAGGTTATGTTTTCTTATCGTCAAATAACTTCAGTATTCAGGATAACTCTAGTATTTAACTTAGATATGTATTCATCATTCATTTACAGGTATAATTTTTGAATTCTTTATGTGACACAGGCTTAAGGAGAGGTGTTGCAAACAGTATACAGTATATGTCCACACACTGAACATCGTCTCACTCTCCAGGTTCAGTTTGCTCAACATGCTGGGAAATTCAGGAGCTTGTCGTTCAGTTTTATTTCACGTAGTTAATGAGAAGGGAAGACATGCCCTACCCGGTTCGTTCAAGGACCAAAACAACTACAGAGGATACGCTCTATCTCAGGTCTGCTGGGAGTAATGAGGGAGACAGGGGGATAGAGAGAGGAAGGGAGGGAGGGAGGGAAGACGGTAAGTGATGACACATGAACTTGGTCTAAAGGGAGGAATCTTATGGAAACAGAAAGGGAAGAAGGGAGGAAGAGATAAATGAGAGGCCAGCAGAAAGGATGGAGCAGTTGTGAGAAGTCATCATTTGATATCTGCCCTACTTCCACCAGATCATCACTGTGCTGTATTTTCATGCTTTTTTCTTTCTGCATTAATGCATTTTGGATATGATGGTGTCTGTCACTCATATTTCTGTCTGCTTCCCTTGCAGGACGATCACTTTGTGCTCACACTATGGCCATGGTTGTCACGGTGGATTAAAAGCTGCAACTACACACCTGTCTGTTTTTAAAAACAAGCGGCACTGTATTTCAAAATAAAGCAGTTTCGATCAAAAAGGAAAAATAATTGCAGTAAGTACAAACATGGGAGAAAGAAAGCAGGGAGAGAGGAGAGCAGAGGAGAAAAGGGTGAGGGAGAGGGGTAAGTAGGAGTGAGGCGGTGAGGGAGGGCAGATTAGAGAGCATTTTACACTCTGAGCTCGTCATCCATCAACACAATCTGCAAAGCTTTGAAGAGAGAAGAGATGTGCAAGCTTTTCATACAGAAATGTTTGCTCTGCACTGTGTGTGTGTGTGTGTGTGTGTGTGTGTGTGTGTGTGTGTGTGTGTGTGTGTGTGTGTGTGTGTGTGTGTGTGTGTGTGTGTGTGTGTGTGTGTGTGTGTGTGTGTGTGTGTGTGTGTGTGTGTGTGTGTGTGTGTGTGTGTGTGTGTGTGTGTGTGTGTGTGTGTGTGTGTGTGTGTGTGTGGACATGCCTGTGTGCCTGCAGAATCAGCTCTGTCAGTCAAGCAAAGCGCGCCTTTCAGATGAGCGCCCCAGACGAAGCGACATTGCTCAAAATCACACAGACTGCAATGCCTTTCTGCCTAACAAAAGCTGATATGGTGTGGCAAGACGGAGATGACAGTTAAGTCTGCCGCAACATTTTGGAGCAACTCTGATGAGCAACAATTTCTAACAAGTTGGCTCAGCATTGCTCCATTGCAATGTGTGCATTTTTAAAACTGTCCAGGTTTGCTCCCCCCTAAGGCAACACTACAACAACACAGGTCTCCAAAACACCTATCTAGTAGAGTACGATCCCTACTGTGTTACATTGTCAGACAATTCCATATCAGATCAAAATCTATGCAGCAAATATGTTATTATTCCAATATATTTCTTCCTTGTCAAACCTGGTGCCTACAAGGACCACAATGCAACTGCATGACTTTGCAGCTTGGTCAGAGGTTTGTGTACGTTTTGCTTCTAACCCCTAATGTAGCCTTGACTTTTTAGCATAATAAAAATTTGACAAAAATGAAACACCATATTTGTGTCAAATGCATACTTCTTGTAAGTGGTAATAGCTGTAGAAAGTTGGGCAGTTATGAAAACATACAGCATGAGATGATAGACAATAATCAAATACCAGACATCTCTTTCATATTTCTGATTGAATAAAGCCTTTGTGTGCAACATTAATCTTTAAAAAAGTATCTTGGGTTTTTAAGTATTATAATGAATTATATTGGTCAAACAAAGATATTCCTATCTAAGTATTGCATGCATAAAAACATATGTATATTGTATGTCTTATGATACTGTATATATCAATATAAAATGATGTTACATTCTTTGGCAAAAGAGTTCATCCATATCACCCACTCGACCTATCTGATGTCAAACAAGCTGATAGAAGGCTGGAGACCTTTTATGATCCTTATATGTTTGTATGATATCAATAAATGAATGCAAGACTTCATGGAAGAACAAGCCTTGTCAGGATTCCTGACTTTGTCCACCAGTGCTTCCATTTCCCAAACACTGAGCTCATTGCCTCGTTTGCAGGACTGTAGAGGCTCAAGTGGTGCAGTTTTTCCCTTAACCTTGCCTGCGTGCTCTGAAAGTGTAGCAATGTGTGTATATAGCTTGTGTGTGTGCACTTTAACACAGTGACTAATCCGGACAGATTCCACAGCCTCTTTTGGTGCCATTCTGCTCTCCTCTGCTTTGAAGGACCTTTCAGGCCAGTGTTGCACCTCTCTTACACCAACACACACACACACACACACACACACACACACACACACACACACACACACACACACACACACACACACACACACACACACACACACACACTTGTATTTGCACTCCTCTGCTTGAGCACTTCTCTCCTCTCTCTCTCTCTCACTCACTCTCAGTCAGGGTTGCCATGGAGGGAGGTTATCTTTGCTGCCATGACAACGTGAGTTCTCTTTGGTCTCCCCTAACGACAGTGGAATTGAACACACAGCGCTGGGTGATGTGATGTCTTCGGACCGGAGGCTCAGAGATTCACACACAGCGCAGGAGTCACCTGAACTACTCTGTGCCAGAGAAGAGGAGTGGTAGAAGAAGAACTCAACTTCTTTTTCTACTAACTAAAAGTAGCAAAACTATTATGTAAAAATACTGCCAGTAAAAGTCTTTGTTTAAAGTCCTACTTCAGCACCATTGCGTATACTGCTGAGAGAGTGATTAGCAACAATCTGTCGTCCCTCGAGGACCTTGAGGCTGGTAGGAACGATTTTAGATCCCTAACACTCAGGACACACACTTTTTGAATCATTCTGTTGAACAGTATATCCCACATGATCATTACTATGAACATTTTCACATCCTCTATCTATACCGTTTTGCAAAACCTGCACTAAACCTACATATTGTACACATTAATTATAGTACTTTTATCTTTTTCAGATTTGTATTTTGTTATTTTTTGCTTTATATTTATGTTCTTGACATTTCCACCACTTTGACAGATCTTATATGTCCTCCTAATATGGAAATGTTTTGCACTAAAAACCATAAAAGGCAGATTTCCTGTAAGTGAAAATGTAATACCAATAAACCTCATTCTGATATAAAAGTACTACTTCCTCTACATGAGATTATCATACCCTTACCAATTCTTCCATGTTTGTCTACAGTTTTGCTTGCATCTCTACCCCCTGCATATTTTAATAGAGAACTGATTTGATTGCAGATGTTTTTCCAAACCAAATCGGTAGTTCAACCTTTTTGCACTGATTTTATTCTGGGAAATCGAGTGGGGGAAATGTCAGTTGAAAAAAAGTCTAATTAGAGCCAAAACAAATGTCTAATTAGAGCCAAAAGTCATAATAAAAACTGCACACAGGAAATGTTCGACTGAAGCCCATTATACTTTTGAGCAACGTGCTAATTACAGCATGTCATCATCAGGAAAGCACCCACCAAACTCTTTCTCTTCGGAAACTGAGCTCAGGATTACATCCAATAATACCAGTGCTGAATTAATGCAACTGATTTTAATATTGACATTGACCAAGAAACTGCCATTAAAGCCTGACTCCATCCCGGTAAAAAGTTCAAGATCAAGGCATATCCATATCCCACATTTCAAATAATTTAACCCAAAACAAGTTTATAAACTCATTCCTTCTTACCTTGAGTCTCTCAGACACCCCGTCAGTGAAGCTGATGGTGAACTCCTCCACCTTGGGAACCTTCAGCCTCTTCTTCTCTGTCTGGTACTCCGTCCGAGTTTTCACCACCACCTGCAGGATGGAGAGAAAGCAGTTTAATACTCAGAGATGCTTAAGGTAATATATGGGAGATGCATGGTATCGTAGCTGGAAATGGTCGAGTCATATTTGTAAAAGTCAAGGCAAAGGTCTAACTGTAACGCACTGAACTGTAGACAAAATGACAAGGTGCAAGGAGGCAGAACAAAATCAGATGTGTGTTTTTTAGAGTTTATAGAGGCAAAGTCTGCATGTCTTCTGAGGGATTGGGCTATACATCTTGGAGATATAGACTTATTAGATGCATTAGTTTTTATATTACCAGTATCCCATTGTGTACTGTTTATATATTAAATAAAAATGGGTTTACTGCTTCCTCTATAAACTGGATGTGCATAAGGGAACAACATGATAGATATGATAGTGAAAAGCACATCAGGAGGTTAGACATCCCTCCACAGTGTATACTCTGATGAAGCTGAAATGACTTTAAAAAAGTAATTTGAAAAACAGAGGTTGAGATGAGTTCACAGCTCAATACACAGAGGTGTAAGTTAGGATTGAAGGGGTGGATGAAAGCGTAGGCTGATAGATCTGGAAACACATTAAAGAATACACAAAAACAACACATCTAATATACAATATCGGTGTAGGATATTTGAATAGCAGTGAGTGTTTTTATTTTGGCGTAGGATCAAACCCAACACAGCTAGAAAGCACACAGCGAACACACAGGCATGCCAGGCATCTGTTGGAGCACTGCTGGATGTTAATGAGGTCTGGTGCCCAGAATTTAAGACCCTGATAATCCAAAGGGAAAACATTGTGCTTTTTGCATGCAGCTACATGTAAAAAAAAAAGAGTTAGGGCAGCACAACCCTGCCCCAATACTGTCAGTCTAAAAACTCCTCAAGCAAACCTGTTCAGAGGGAAGAGAGGGGCACGGGGAAAAGAGACGGAGAGAGCTCAGAAACTTTCAGATTTGTCTACTTTTATTTTTGTGAAAGGTATTTGTACAAAATCAGTGGGTGCAGTGAAAATGGATGGGACTTTTCTAGCATTCTTGTTTTTTGCCTAAAACCTTAGTTCCTTTCCAAGTGACAAAGTGTTCTTTTGCCGATAGAATTAGGACTATGTGGATAGTTAGGTCGACAAAACTTTTTTATTTTACCACAGGAGATCACTGTGTGTTCCCCCATTTCAACAGGGAGTTTAGGTTATGATTCATTGTTGTATTGTCTTTATCAGCAATTAACTTGATTTGTAATTGTGATCATTAACAATGGGAATAATGTTCAAATCTATTTAGTTATGATAAACCTGGGTCTTATTTGTTGGCCATCAGTCCAAGACATAAGGTGGACACTATATGCATGCATTCATATCATTTCACCTGAATAATGTATTTAAGTATTTGCTTGAGCGCTTTTTCCTCAAATGTTTTTTTTCTAATTCTGAACAAATCAGTAAAATGTGTATAAACCTAAAACTATGCATCATTTGTAGTTTTGTGGTTTTAAGTCCTACTGTACATGAACCTAGAAAGTACCTAGAAAGCATTACACACCACAATCATTCACTCACTTCAACAAAAAAGTGAATAAATAATATTCCCTTCAACTTTGACTTATAGAAATCCAAATTTCTATTTCATAAGGGCTTTGTCTCCTCAGCTTTAGCATTGTATCCTCTTTTGCGGCGCTGACTTCATTGAACAAAATAATCGCTTTTAGCAGGTTGCGCCTCATCACTGTACTTTTTAAGAAGGGAAAGTGCCCCTACTGTGTTATGCATTCACTGTTTATTAATGTGCGCACGTGGACTTGGCAGATAGGGAGAAGGTGAACAAATGACGACGCGGGGGAGAGGTGGAGGAAGGGATGGAGGACAATGTGTCGGTGTCCTTCTGGCTAATTGCGCAGCTTCTGAGCGGCTCCTTCACTTTGAGGCAGCGCCAGAAACGGCTGTGCTCACATACTGGCTCCACTATCTGAATAACAAAGCTGTCAGTTGGCCGTAGGAAGCCCTTATCGAAGAGTTGAAGGCCGCAGGAGGGGCACTGAAAACATCGCATTTGATTGGACCCCTGAGGCTCCGCAGCCGTGTGGCCTTCAGTGCATCAACACCAGACGTCACTGTCCTAACTAATGTCTCAATTTTTCCTCAACTTTGTCTTTCTTTCCTACTCATCTCACAATAACATGTTCAGAGCCCCAAGGTTCAAACACAGCGGGGCTTCATGTTGCTTCATTCATCTCGCTCCCCCTGTACCTCTCGCTCCTTTATTTCACATTACCGAATGACGTGCCTATAAATCACGGTTGCCTCATTTACACAGACCTTTAGCAATCAGCTGCAGCTAGAAAATATACTGAACAAAGTGTCACCTTCTCTGATTAGACAGGTGGAAAAACATTCATTTATGAGCTATTAAATATTGTTAAACAAAGCTTGATGTAAAAAAAAAAACGATGCAGTCAGGAAAATCTAATTACAACTTGCTCACTTATTATTCCATGGAGGTAGCAGCTCATATTTCACTTGTGATTTCTCTTGAGAATTTGACCATTTGCTTTCCCCTAGTCATGTGTTGTTAATTTTTTAGCAAGTGGTTTTATGGACGGAAATGTTGGTCAGTCGGATGAACTATCTTATTACGTTTTCGGTGGATTATCATGAAATGTTGTACAGACATTCCCACGAGATTCTCGAGGAACCATATTTAGTGATCCCCTTGCTATAATAATGATGTATTCATAGCACTTTTGTGTTAGGGCGAGCTTATTTAATATCTGCCATGAGAAAAGAGCAAAGGCATTTTCTTTTATTGTGTTTGATCCCTCACTATAAAGAACTGTACCTGCTGGAAGTCTAATTGCCGATGCAGAGGTATAACAACTAGCTGCTCTCCATAAACAAGTACCTCATTATTCTAAGAAGTGTACCCATTTCCTTCAACCTTGTTAGCCCAAAATAAATTGCTCTACCAAAGTGTCTGTGTGTGTCCCTGTTGGCAAATGTTCAAGTGATTTTCCCAAAGGGGCTTTGAAATACAACATAATTTAATGAATGTCAGGGTTGTTTACAACATTGTACCCTAACAGTTTGGTTCCCCTGTACTAAGAGTATCATTTATTTCTCCTTCCCCTTAAAATGCCTAAGTTTCAACCCCTTGTTCACTATTTGTTCTGATATACCTACATTTAATTGCTGATATAAACCAGTTAGTCATTTTCTGCTACCTGATTGATACAACAAAATTAACCTGCAGTCTGTATTACCATCAATTGTATGAACTTTAGCGATCACCTGACTTTCATCTCAACTTTTATCCTTCTTACACTTTCTTTTTTTCTTTAGAGGAAGCCTAAAAGCCTCACCATATGTATCAAAGCTCTAGACTCACTGTGCATTTTAATTATGTTGATAGCCCTGACAGGAAGGTAAATGAATCCAGCACAGTAGAGAAGCACAGCCTCTGCTTTGAGATTCTTTGAAAATCTATTGACAGATATTCAATTAGTCATGTATATTAAATGTCTTGATTCACTGTGACTTTGTTATATCTCCGTGACAGACATGAAGTCACTTTTAGATCTAAAGGCTGTAAGATTTCCAATTCATGTCTGTTTGTTGAAATAACTTGTGCCACACAGGATGTTTCTCAAGCCAACAGAACTTAATGTTTATTTAAAAAAGCACTTCAGGGCTTTTAAAGTTTTCCTTTTTTCATATCCGAGTGAATAATCGGGAGAGTAAATAAGACATGAATACAGAGGGAGAAGAAGATTTCAGAAAAGGCAGTTTTAACTTTTTTAACTTAGCCAGCTCTCTCTTTCTCTCTCCAATCATAAGTCTTTTAGATTTATATTCCCTCTGGTAGAGCTGTCGAAACCTATCTTTTCTCCCTGTCTTCCCAAGTATGTTATTCTTCAGATTTGTTATCGCTATGATTGCCGCTTTATTTTATATTCCCCAAGGACTAAGCTGCAGAAGAGATGGCAAAGTTGTGATGTTAAAGGCTACCTACTAACTAACTACTTTTAAATCCAGGCTGAAGACTTTTCTTTTTGCCGCTGCTTTTAATTGAACTATTCACATCTTAAACTGCACTGTAACTTTTAACTTTTATCCATGTATTTTTTATTTTAATGTTTATTTTATTATCTTTTCTTTTAATGACTGATTTTAAATGCCATTTTCATAATGTCTTCCATTTTTGTAAAGCACTTTGAATTGCCTTGTGTTGAAAGGTGCTATATAAATCAACTTGCCTTGCCTTGCCTTGCCTTGCCTAAAGGCGGCAGACATTTTCTTTAAGGTGTTTGATTCTAGTTTATCTTTGTGAATAAAACAGTGAATGACATTCATACAGAAAGCAGGAGGGAGTTACCCTTCTTGGGGTAAACCATTAGCTCTGACAGGATGTAAGTGATAATATAATCAAAGGTGAGACATGTTCAATCAACTCCTCTTTTAGAGTTTGGATTTAAATAAGACACCCCTACAGTCACAAAAGTGATTCTGAAATAAGATATGCACACTTTGGAATCCTGTTCTTACATTGTTACGTTTTTCCAAACACCTTTACTTACACAAACAATTTCAGAGGATGTCATTTCCTCTTTTTCCAATAACATAGAGTTAATCATACCTGATACACTCTGTCAACATGCTATATCCTTTTTTAAGGCTGAGATAAGTGTTTCTTACCACTCAGGCACATCACAAACAAGCGTTTAAGACAAATTTGACATCCTTAAAAATGATAGCAAACGCATTAGGCGCCAATTTACACATCCAGAGGATACAGAACGGAGCAATTAGCTGGCAGATGCTAAAAGGCTCAGTAGAGCTAAGGAGAACTGCTGAGATACTAACTACAAGCATCGCTTTCCACATATATGCAGGGATTTGGGGCTGATTGAAGCTTTCATCTTCGGTCAAGGATATTTTGATGTATAGTTTCAACTTTTTCCAGACATTTCCTAGACCAATTAATTGGCAGCTGATGATTTCATTTGGGTTTAATCAGAGCTATAGGGTATATTATATAGTGTAATGTAGGTAATGGTTACAATCCAAACGTTTATGCATCTAAAAGCTGAAGCTAAGTGGCTCTTGTTGAGTCATTATACATGTTATTACCTTCACAGCTACTCTCACAGCCTGTGCACAGCCAGCAAGATACATTTCAAAATAGGCTTTGTATAATTTGTGATAATTGTTCAAATAAACTTGGATGCTAGTAACAAGGCTTCACGTCATAACACATAAAAAAGCAATTTATTACTGACCTATCGCTGGGTATTCCTGCTCTAAGGTATTCCTCTCTAATTCACGAAGCTTAGATAAACACAGTCGCACAGAATAAATGAGACTTAAAAGCTCCTCCAAAATAATCAAGGAGAGGAGGATGTTATGTAAAGGGGACATTTTGGACAAGAAAAAGAGAATGATTATAACGTCTGTCATATGCTTTGAAGCAGATACCTGAGCTTTGTTCTCAGAGGAACAACATACTGAAAGGAAAGATGTTTTTCAGTGTGTGAGTCTCTCCCCCCGCCTCTGGTTGTTTTTCCTTTTCTTTTCAAACAAGCAATCCAATCAAGATATTGGTGACCCAGCGATGGCTGTGAGAGGTCCCTGCCCAGATTGAATCAAATCGAATGCCTCCCTAATGCCTCAGTCTCTGCAGGGCCACAGCAGCATTGTTATGTCTGGATGTGTGTGTCCATACGTGTATGAACTTTGCTGTGACTGCCCCCCCTCCCCCGCCCCCGCCCCTGCAAATATCCGCTAGTACCCTAGTCTGAAAGGTCACGCAGTCATCAGGCAAGATCAGGGTGAAAACAGCTGGGGTCGTATTTATAAAGCTGCTGATCTGGGGTTCTTGTTAGGTCACATGACCCAATACATCTCGCTATAGCTTTTAAGGACAGCGGGAACAAAACTGGCCACAGATCAGATTCTGAAAGGCTGATAAAAGCTGATTAACAATGAACTCCTTCTTGGCTGGGTGGTTGGCAAAAACAACAACCTTAAATTCAGTGAGATTAAAGAGATTTCAAAGACATTACTGGTGCACCATATTTTTAGGTTTAGAGATAAAAAAGCACACAAAGCCTACAGCGCTGCCATTGTCCTTAAAGCGGCTATAATCCATATTGTATTAAAATAAACAATGTGTGAAAGGAGTTGCTCGTAATGTTGAACATACAGATAATTATCAAACAAACAAAAGTCTTCCCTTAGCTCTATGGAGCTTTCGAGTGAGTTAAAGCTCATTGTTTAGCCGTCTGAACCAGACCTAGACTACGTTGGTGCACTTTCACAGCATAGCATCTATTTCACTTGAAAAAGGCAAGTGTTTCTTTCCTGGGAACCAGCAAATCTGCAGTTTTATTTTTGCTCTGGCTGATGTGTCTTGTCCCCCTACGCTTTGGACAGATAACCAGCAGTGTTTGAAAAGGGAGACCATGAAAAGGAGCACAGTTTAGGCATTTTCCAAAACATCCAAGAATGCGCTGTTGGATACATTCAAAAGCAGTTATACAAGTTTAAGGATTTAACCCTGCAATCAGAATCAGAAACACTGCTATGTTGTATTTTAAAAGCAGAGAAGAGTGTGCTCATACACATACACAGTGACAAAGTACAGAGAGCCGAATACTAATTAAATGAACTGTGATAGCCATCATCAACACCTCCCACGCTCTGAGGTCTAATTACAGTTTCCATTATATATTCTTTTGGCCTCTGTAGCGTTCATGCATCACTTGTCAGGAAGACAAATTATTACACTTACAGCTGGAGAGAAATTCTGAGATTTAACAGCAAATTGACCCTTACTTCTGCAACAGCATATTGTGTAAACATGGATCGACCCATCTGCCCTTTCATAATGTTTTATAAAAAGGAACGAACATTTATTTTGCTTGTACAGTAATAGTTGGCAACTTAAACTAGGAGCAGCTGAACTGACAATTTCTTAGTCAATTTTCTGTCAGCGACGTGTATCCAGGAGCAACAAGCAACAGTAATCTTTGTGTCTGCGTCTCTGAGGGATGTAACAACAAGCTTTCTTCCCTGACCTCTTTTCCTTTCATATGTCACTGGCAATAACTCGCTGGTATATCCCAGGAGCGGATCCTCCACCCAGCTTATTAACTCTATGTCTCTACCTGTTCAGGAAATCACTCAAATACATTCAGTCACACGTACAGTAACATGAAAATGTGTGTGTGCGCATGTTTTCAAGTCTAGTGAGGCTGATTTAATCAGTGCAAAGTGTCTGACAGCTCTGTGGCTGTCATGTCGCAGACTGCTGGCTGCTGACAGAAACAACTTGTCACTCACACAGTCACATGTCACATGAATGTAGTGTACACAAAGAAGAAGGCAAGCGTGTATGTGTGTGCATGCATATGTGTGTGTGCAAATGTGTGTGTGTGTGAATGTGTGTATGTGTTTAAGGGAATGCAGTGAATGACAAGTTAATTAGCATGTCTATGAAATTGAAAGAGATTTTCCCTGCCTCAGAAGAATACACAATTAAGGTTCAGGCTGTACCATATTTGGGGGATTAGGATCATTTCTGTATATAAATGTAAAAAGACAAGAAAGCTCCTCCAGCACCCTGAGCTTATACACTAAGGAGGGTGGTAAGGGACTAATGAACATCAGGGACACTACCCAGGATGAAACATCACAGATCCAGGGTTACATCAGGAAGATGGCCACACGTAATGATATGAATCATCAAACAAGCCCCTGCAATGCATGTACCACAAAGTACAAAAAGAAGAAGTGGCTCATATCGAGAAATGAAAGGGCTAACCAAGTGGAAGTAAATAAAGTAGCTAATTACTGTTTAAAACGGTTGGCCTGTCATACCCCAGTCCGAAGCTCTGTATTGATTTGAATGATGGTGTATGTAAATAATCCTTCTGATACCTAATAAGGTGCGTCAACTGTTGCAATGATAATATGATAAATTGTGTAATTTCACCTTGAAGCTCTACAATAAGTAATTGATTGGCGGTTTAGAAAGATGGATTCATACAGCTGTGAAATAAAATCATCACCCCGTAACGGATCCAAACACTGTCACACAATGGATGCATAATAAACCTCTCATAAGAGATCTGCTGATGTCTAATACCATTCATTTTCATAATGTGCATAATCAGTGCAGCTCTCTGTCCTGACCCGTAGAAACACCAATCAGGCTCTCCACGTTGCACTGCCACCATGGTAACTGGATTAAGAAGCTGCGGTGCAGTTACTCTGGGATGTCGAGATGATAAATGACAGTCTGTCTGGCACTGAATCTGTCTCCTAATCTCAGCTGGAAAACAAAGGACACTGCTGGGACGGCTGAGATGAATGAATTTGGGAATGAATGAAAGTGTGTTTGTGTGTGTGTGTGTGTGTGTGTGTGTGTGTGTGTGTGCAGGTGGGGGTATTAAGTTAAGAGGGTTTAAGGACAGTGTAGGTCAACAGCATTGAGTTAAAAGAAACTGATGCAAAAACAAGCAGACCAACACACACACACACACACACACACACACACACACAGTTGGGCTGGTGTCTCTCACCTTGTCAGGTGCTTGGCTCTGGAGGCTGCCCACGTCCAGAGGAGTGATGAGGGGCACATTTTGGAAGCCGTCCTCCACGCTCACAGGTTTGGCCCCTTTGTCTTGAAGATTACTCCCCAGTTTCACCATCTTTCACTGCCCTTAGTATATTCCCTTTATTTCCCTGAAGACAGCTCCTGAATAAGAGGTGGTGAGAAAGGATGGTTTTACCTCACATCCTCTCAGGTCAATGGCAGAAACAGGCTATATGATGGAGAAGACTCTAATACCTTAAATTACACAGTACGAATAAGTTAATGTTGTCAAGTGAGTTGAGAGGAATCGAAATACGATCAATGATGAGAGCAGCAAAACACCACAATAAAGAGCATGTTTTGTTTGCAATGAAAACGGACTATTTTACCATGACCCATAAGGGAAAGAAACCACCACCTATAGCACATTTTCGTTACCCGAACACGAAAACACAACAAAACTGTACACCCCAAAAAAGCATTACTCACAGCTGATCGTCCTTGTCCGTGCGTCTCCTCGGTGCTGCGGCAGTGTCTGGACAGAGGCGGAGGGAGGAAGAGGAGCAGGTGAATCTGGAGGCTGCGCTGCGGTGTCTCTGCTGCTGCGGGAAAACAACGCTGCGCCGCCGGATGAGAGACTGGATGTCTGGCGGCAGGTTTCCGAGCAGCAGGCAGCCCAACCCCCTAATCCAAACTCAGCCTCCTCTTCACCGAGCTGCTGCACCCAGCGCCGGAGCTGCCACTAGGGGGATCTTTCACCCTGTCAGGGGTCTCGTTTGTTTGATAAAGTGGAAGTCAAATGAATGCTGCATCTCAGGGTTTATCGCCAGAGCTGAGAAAGTGGATTTATATTTGCATAACACTTAAATATTTCGATAAAGGGGATTTTTCTTGACAACATATAAGATCCGTTGGAAATGTTATTTTGTTGTATATTGTTTATACATTGATTAGACCGGTTTGATTTTGCACGCCCAGCTCGTAATTTGATCTAAAAGAGCAGCTTACTCCCTCAAAAAAACATTCATAAATGATGTTTTGTTTTCACACAATAAGGTTAGTCATTCTAAATGTGCCTCTCTTAACATCACTGAATTATGTCTCATGAATTATATGTAAAACCAACATTCTCACCTGTCAATTTTAAGGGAGAAATAACAAAATAAAAAAGTTATTTTCCACAGTACCTAAAGGCAGCAGAAAACATTTTCCACTGAACCATTTTGGTCCTATGGCGCCATCTGCTGGTTACATGAGTGACACACAGACGTGAGGAGCTGTTAAAAAAAACGACATTAATAATCTGACTAACAATGAGTGAAATGCTTTAAAAGGTAGATGCTGGGATGTGTTTGTAATTGTATGGTCAACAGATCTTCTTAAATCTTAAACAATGGTATAAATTCAACAAGGCAATTAAATGTAGAAATTGTGTTTTCTTTTATATAATAATTAACCAAGCAAGAATAATTTCATTTGTTTCATAAAAATATATTTTAATAGTCACAGTATGTATGTGATACATATGTAATACAAACATATAGTCATACTATAGGCTTCTATGTCAATGTTCTTAATAATAGTGTAGAAAAAGTAATAAAAAGTCATACAACATTTTTTTTCCTAATATGTGTAACATAAGAAAGTTTAAAGAAATATGAGTCAAAATATATTAAACCATCAAATGTTTAATAATGTAGTATAGTGATACAAATGGCATAAAGAAACGTCATAGTCCAGTATGTCATTACATCATAACCAGGGTTATAGCTTGTTTGCCATTTTTGAAAAAACCTTTTTCTCAGTGGACCATTAATACATTTTTTATTATTTTTGAGTGATAAATGATACATTTTGATATATTTTTATGGAATTTGAGATGCTATTCTAACGTTGAGGATCTTTTGATTTAATCCTGAATTGGGAAGGAATGTTGTTCGGCTCTGAGTGCTTTGAATTAATAACCTGTTAAACAAACATTTCATTTAAGAAATGTTTTACCTATATTAAATCAGAGAGATTAGAATGCCATGAAACATAACATTCAAAAAGCCATAGTTTTGTATGTCCTCAAAATGACATTAAGAAGTCATAGTATAGTATGCAATTAAAATATAATTAAGAAACTCATAGTATAGTATATAATACCTCAGAAAAAAGGCATTAATTGTCCTTGTGGACGCAAAGCAATATCACAAGCTGAACATCAAATTTGTTTTTGAAGTTATGGAGACAGTAGTTGTCACTACTAATTTAAGGACAACTACTGTCTTCATATTGCTGCAGTTATGAAGAAGAGCACTCCAGGGTGGGGTCAGTACACATAAACCTGACTGCTGGGTGTGGTCGGAGGAACGAGGCAGTGGAGCTCCACCTTTCAGTCGGTTTAAGAGTCACTAACTGCTCATGCAAACAATAATAATACAACAGTGCAAACCGTCCCTAAACAGAGAGATCGCACCAAATATAGATAGCAGTTAGTGAGACTGTCCAATAACAGCTTTAAATGTCCAGACTTAACGTAAAAAAGAACACCAAGCAAATCTTTTCATCACAGTTAAGATTTATTTCATTCAACATTTCACATTACAAATATTTAAAAATTATGCATACTGTTATAAATAGTTGGCTGCAAACAATTAAATAACATTAGATTTTTCTTTTTCGTTTCACTAGCACTTCTACAGACCAACTCCTAGAAATATGGACATATCCGTATTACATAACTTAATTAGAAAGGAAAATACAAAAATAGGAACTTATAAAGTGAAATGACAATAAAAATTAAGGTGATATCTTAAGTAAAAAATGCTATTAATAAATACAACAACCTTCCCATACACAGTTAAAAACTATTGAAATCTTGCCATTAAGTAACATCATTAACAGACAAATATTTAAATATTTATTTTCCTTCAGAAAATGTGAACCATATATTGTGGAGCACAATATAGCAATTAGTAAAAACTAGACACTTTAACATATTAAAAGCTTCACCTCAAAAATATAACAAAAATCTGATCAAAATTATAAAAATCAATTATACATTCCAATTAAAAATATACCAATAAACAGCTAAATACATTGTTGACCTAATAATTACAATGCAATCAATCACAGTAGCTTAAAATAAACAAAATAAGCAAATGAGCACAAAACCTTTAATGTTTTAAAAATAACTTCAATTATTTATATTAGTACAAATAGTTTGATTTCTTTTCTTTTTTACAAACACCAGCATGAAAAGGATTACAATAACAGTAGAAAATGACTGTGAAAAACATATTAACATCTTCTTTAATTAAATGTCTGCAATTAAAAATGGCATTAAAGAATTACATTGCAAAGAGTCTTTATCTGGAAAAAGGTTCAAAAGAAGTATTGCACATAACAACTTGAAGTTAACTTGCAACATTTACCACATTCAAGTCTTTAAGCTCCCCTTCCTCCAGATAGGTCTATATAATCACCTCGACAGACAGCGGGGATGAGTTCTCAAGTCTTTTTAAAACAGTGTTGTAAAAGGATGCTAAAGTCCTGCACTGCCAAATCGATTTATAGTTAAGTTTCTGTCTTGTTTCTCGTCTTTTCTCTCTGTCGTGTGCATCCTGCAGAGGTCTGCGAATGGGGAAGCGAGGAGATCAACACGTGGGGGGAGGGGAGAGGGGGACGGGGGGGGGGGTGAGGTGAGTGGGTTTGGGGTGTCCTTAACAACTTAATAGTTGAGAAACATTTGGTGCACACCACAACAGTTAATTTTTAATAACTAATTCATGTACTTGTCATTTTCTCTTTTTTTTGTCATGCATGCTAAGGATTACAATAGGTGCTAGTTGGCAAGTTCAAGAATATATATATACTTTTTTTGAAATATTAAAATATCTAAACACCAAACATCCATTCTTGTGATACGAGATTCAGCGTTACGCCTGAACCAAATTTTGCATTCTCCTTATATTAAGTTATAGTCCATCTATGGAGAGGAAACCAAGACAGAAGTTACCATTGTCCAACTAGTATAGCCATGTTTAGAGACATTAACATCAATTTCAAATTACAACTTGTTTTTTTTGTTTTTTTTTGTTATTCTCGCCATGCTGTTATTGACCAGATTGACTGGAAACATCTAATGTACGAAAAGCTAAGACCAAGAGAGCAATACACTTTGGTCTCTCCTCTGCAGATGTGAAGTCGCATCAACACAAGTGCGCACTTAGTTGTAAAGTTTCCTCAGCACTGAAATGTATAAAAAGCATAATTGAAAATAATATATATTGAAATCACTCAACTTTTTTTCTTAAAATGAACATTTCCATATATGCAGATCTCTCAGTAACAAAAGTACAAAAGCTACCTTTCACAATGTGAAAAATTGAGGTATTGCAAAAAGGAGTTTCCCCATTTGTGAAAAATGTGCCTAAAATGACTGTTGGAAAAAGAAAAAATATTTAGAAAAGTAGTGCATAATAAATGTTTATATGTGCATGACAAAATAATTTAGCTAGAAAACACTGTACCAAAAATCAGCAGGCCATGTATAAAATAATCTTTTTTTTTCATCTCATTTAACAGCAAATTCTTCACAAAGTGTTTTAACTTCTAAAATGCTCACCCACCACACCCACAAAACAAATGACTAGGGTGCAAAACTGGTGCGACGACACCACGCCCATATGAGGAAAGGTTTCTCACTAGTGTATAATCAAGTTTCTGTACTAACTCCCTGACATATTTAAATGCTCGGCTAGCAGGTTACTGAGTGACTTAAAACGTCAAGCAAAGGTGAGGATTAGTTTGACTTTTGCTGTGTGAATGTGCACTTAATGTTAAACGTTCCGCGGACCTATTTGAGATAAAAAGAACTACCAGCGTGCACCTCCATTTTGAGCTATGGAGAACTTGTGTGTGTGTGTGTGTGTGTGTGTGTGTGTGTGTGTGTGTCTGCAAGCCCTGTTGTTTTTCCACTGGTGTTCTAATGGGTTTTGACTGCACTGTCAAATATATATATATAAATATATCATGTTCAAGGCCAATCTTTGGTTTGCTGGGCTTGACAGTTAAGCAAAACTGGGTAGAAGTGACAGAATAATAAAAAAAAAAGATATATGAAAAAAAACTTCCTTGAAGTAATGAGAAGGAACATAAGAATAAAAAAAACCAAATAAGAAATGAGCTACAGTATGACCCACTACTGCACAGCCATCTTTGGTTCCCAAAAAGCCACTGGGTACAACCGACTGTTATCAAGAGCAAACTGCATGTGGGTCATAAGTGTGTAGTAGTAGAGCACACTGCAGAGACTATCTTCATTTATGCTTCAAAAACACTGGATGCTGAGTTGGATTAGCTTGGCAGGAGAAAGGACAGAGGGTTCGCCAAAAGGGCAGATCCCTCCATGACTCAAATGTGTGCTGACGATTGGGAAATCCGATAAACTTGAATTGCTTCTTGCATTAAATGTAGCTGACTCTCGGATGCGAAGTAGAACTTTTTCATTAAAGACTTGGGAGAATTGCACAAATTCATCGAAAAAAGACTAACAAAGGACAGGCATTTTCCATTTGGTGGTAGCCCCGTAGAAACTGCAATAAAATGGTGGACTACTAGACCACCCTTCTCTCGAGGAGACACCTTAACCTCAGTCCTGAATGATCTGGATCCAAACCCCCGCGGTGTTCGGACACAGAAAACAGGTTTTGATCCACGAACGAGGCCCTACACTCTGTTAGCTGCTAGCTTAGCAGGCAGACAGAGGGGGGGGGGGGGGGGGGCTGGGGGGGGGGGGGGCTGGGCTTATCTCTTTAAGCCGTTCTGTCTCTCCTGTAGCCTCCCTCCGCCTTACATTCCCCAAATACACTGTATACTGTACGATGCTCCGCTCTGTCCCTAGCACAACCCTGGCTTTGAATAAAAAAATAAGGAGGCGATGAAGCAAGTGAGTACAAAACTGTGCCTGTCACATCACACTCTGCCTGTTGCATCACTTCCCTTTGATTATAGTTCTAAGGAAAGGAGAACACGAGCGGGTGATAATGTTTTCTTTCTTGCTTTTTTTTTCCTTTCTTCTTAACTGTATCGGCACATTAGCAGCTGAGTTTGAGGTATTAGTTTTTGCATGTCAAAATGGAGATCAAAACCCAAATATGCGTTGCTAAAATTTTCGTTGCGATTTTCAAGTAACATCAAAATATTTGTGTGAAGTTGGAAATCATAAAAAGAGAGAGGTTCAAACATTTTGATATGGGAGGGAAAAGAATCCATTTCATTCTGCAGTGGGCCCTCTCTGTTCTTCTAAGTTAATTCAATATTGAGCTTTGGTTGACTACTAAGGGTCTCGTATACTGTGTCTGCGCTCTTTCAAATTGGAAATAAGTGCACTCTTCTTTAGCAACACCTTTTCAATTCACATTTGCTCTGGAGCCTCTTGTAATCGACAGAGAACTTAAATCACACCTAAGAAATAAATAGCCAATCATATGCTGTTACAACAGCACTTGCAAAACAAGTCAATCAAAAGTCAAATTAAGTGTCTTGTTTTGGGGACAGTTCTTAAAAAATTAAATAAAATACATTGTTTAGAAAAAAATAAAAAGGCCAATTGAATAGAAGAGTACCATATCACACTTCAAACGTTCCTATATATATGTTGTTGTTTTTTAGAACTAATACAAATATTTCAAAAATCAAACGCATAAATAAATTTATGTTACACATCTTTTTTCCTTGCTGGACATATTTGGATATAATTCCAGTTTTTTTTCTATCTTCAAAATATAGATATATATTAACTTAAAAAAATGAAAAAAGGTTCAGTGAAATTAGAGCGAAAAGGAACCAGCAACAGAAAAGTGCATTTATTTGTACAATGATTTGCGACTCCTGCACTACCTGCCCTCTGCTCCCTGTTGCCTCTCCCTCTCTGTCCCCCGCTCAGTTCCAGCGGAAGGAGATGTGGCGGGGGCGGTCCCCCCCCTCCTTCACCAGGGGTTTGTGAAACTCCCGTCCGGCGCGGGAGTGGATGGCCGCCCAGCAGTACTCGCAGTAGTACTGCAGACAGGTGACGTTGGCGCAGAAGAACGGCGCAAACTTCCCGCCGCAGCGAGTTCCCTGGCACTCATCGCACAGCTGGTCGTCCAGCACGTATGGCTTCACTTCCACCTGGGGGGGGAATCAGTAGACATTAGCCGTGTTGTTTCCTTTACAAACGTGTGTCTGCATGCTGCTTTATCAATCCTGGTTCTACCATATGTTGCTCAAACTTGCAGGAAATGAAACCGATGGCACCTGGAAGGTAGAAAGTTTATCTGAAAGCGTATATTTTTTTATACTATGTAATAAATATACTAAAGAAATCCTATTAACTCAGTTTTGTTGTGTAATATTTATTTAATATTATGTTTTTGTGTGGCTGGCATTGTCATCTCGTCATACTGTCGTGTCCTTCGTCTGCATGTGTTGCCTGTACTGCAGAAAATAAAGAATTATAAATGTGCATTAGATTAAAAAAATATATATTTTATTACTGCACATATTTTATTCCAATTTCATTTCCACGATTTCAATCATATTCAATGTTAATATTGGTATATTTTACTGTATTTTTTTAATGTTATTATAGTGTTCTTAAAATGGTGTTCTATCTGTGTTTTTAATTCTCGTTTTATTTGTATGTATTTTTATGCACGCACCATAACACCAAGTCAAATTCCTCGTATGTGTTAACCTACTTGGTAATCAACCTGATTCTGATCAAACCTTTTACAGTGTATGTTTGTAAGGAACAGCCGCTCCAGCCCATGTATTGACCTTCTTTAAATATCAGCTTTCATCATGAGGGGCGGAGTCAGCAGGATTAAGACTTGTTTTATTTATCACAGGGAGTAAGAGAACAAGAGGGAACAGCCACAGTGAGCTCTCAGATGAAACATTGCATGTGACAGGCTCAACATGTTGTTATTTGTGAATTCTCCCTTTCCCTTTGCATACTGTTCACTATTCATTTGCTTTTTCCAACCAGTCAGGGATGAGGGATTGTGCTATTAGCAAGTGAATGTCAATAAGAAGGTCTACAAAATGTGAACAGTAATTATGCAAATGAGAAAGCAGCGTACTATTATTCCTGTAGTTCATATCACCATGTAACCTCTTCACTAAATATTTCTGTTGGATTTCAGCTCATGTTCTTTTTTTCACTCCCCTCTATTGTGTAAATGTGAATAATATGAAGCAACTACAGAGCTCTGTAATCTCTACGGCTGTAATTCATTGGCTGCTGACAACAGTGTGTAAATCACTGATGGCCTTACTGCCAAAGTGTAAATGTATCACACAACTGTACACTGTTTAAATGTATGTATGTAATATTAATGCAGTTTTATCATGGAATAATTTGCGATGACACGTAATGCTCTTTAACTCTACCTGTTACTGTTTTAATTTAAACGGTACATTGTTATACTGTTCTTGTTATTTCACTTATACTCTTTGTACAATGTAACAACGCATTGCTATGAATTAGTATGTATGCTAATCATCTGTAGTATAGAAATATAGGTTAAATAAGAAGTTACAGACCTTTATTATCATGGATTTCATCTAAATGTAATAACGGCCTTTTGATACTGTTCTGTGCGCTCACTTCATGGCAGCTGTTTTGGTCAAATTCAATTTGATTTTGTCAAAAGAAACTCCCCTCATAGCTTGGATTCAGAACATATTGCTTCTTGCCCTGATCTTCTAAAATGAATCAACAATTCTGCCAGATGTGCTTCTCTACACTTTCTGCACTGTAATCCAATATAGCAAACTCATTCTGTATCATACTGCATTTTTTACTTCTCAACAGACTGTTTGACAGAAAGAGAACAGGAAGTGAGTTGTGGGGAGACGAAGGAGGACTTAAAAAAACACTGAGCTCTCTTTTCTCTCCACTCACCCGTTTATCGATTTCTCCATGCTGCAGCTGCACAAAGCGAGCGCTGATAGCAGCAATGTAGCTCTGCTGATTAGAGAAGGCGACCCGCCCTGCTCCCTTGGGGTACTTCAGCTCAGGGTCTGTGTCGATGCCAGCGTAGCACACCCCTCCATACAGGCGGTCCATGATCATGGCCAGCTCCACTGCAGGGGGGGGAAGACACATTGAAGAAGCTGAACAAAATATTTACAAAACTAAAAACATGAACACAATGTTAACATTCTGGCTAAAATCCAGCGACTATTCCACACACACAGGAACATACATGAGCCCATGCCCATGTACCAACACAAGCACGACAAGTTGATGAGGGTTGTTTATCTGAGGGCTTAAAGCCGTCAACACAGATGGATTCAAGATCAAAAGCGTTTGATGGAGCAAATATGAGCGTAGCTACTAAAATGGCTACTATAAATCCCAACACTTTAATTTGCAGTCTTTATTGGGTTTTTCTAAAAAGCTGGCAGAGATAACCTTGTGAATTAACAAGGCAAATTAACTTGTTAAAACAGCAAAAAGGCAAATAGCTTTTCTTTTAATATGTCAAGTTAATACGTGTGAATGTAGACCCATGTTACACAAGGTTATTAGATATGTGATGCGCCACAGGGCTATGTGACCTCAACTAGAGTCTAGAACACTGTTACCAGCAGTGCAGAAAACATGAGCACTCAGCGCACACAACATTGTTATCCGGATAAAAGGGAATTTAATATTCTGCACAGCACAGCGTGCCACTGAGGGAACTTCCTGACGCTCCAGTGTAGGTCAAAGCCAGTCTCAGCGGCACAGTGCCTCTTTTAGCTCTACCCTCTAGCAGGTCGTATGTTTATTATGAACACAAGCTGATCACATTGCAGGGTTTCACAGAAAGGAGAATTGTGTTTAGAGCTGACATTTCAAAGATTAGGAGGAAATAAAGAAGGGGAAGTCAAGGATGGCTTCTTATTTGTGTAAAACAGTGTAAATGTACACAGCAAAAGGTACAGATTGATTAATGTATTAAAGCATTTTGATAAAGAAATAGGGGAATGAGACAATACCAAACACATGGGATTCAACCTGTGTGTATACAACACACTTCAAAAAGGTAAGTGTTGTCATCATAAAGACTCATATGTTGTGGTTTCACATGGTTGGAAAAAGAGTCAAATAAGAATGAAGAGTACCTGCACGGAGCGGACGAGGGACCCCTCCCACAAAGATGGTTTTCCTCGGGTCCAGAGGCTGAGATCCGTCCATCACAAAGTCGCTGTCATTCAGGTTCCACGGGCGAATTTGGACCTGAACACACACGACATGAGGTTTCAAAGTCAAGTAGAAGTCATACGTTTCCTTGAGTTCAGTGGAAACTAATGATGTGAGCAGATGGATGGGGGTGTGTGTGTGTGTGTGTGTATGTATGTGTATGTGTATGTGTATGTGTATGTGTATGTGTATGTGTATGTGTGTGTGTGTGTGTTCCCACTGACCGGCTTGTCTTTGATGGTGGGGCTGGACACGCAGAGGTAAAGCTTGCCGTCCTCTTCAATGCAGGCATCGATCAAAGCCTGCACGGAGCTCTCATCCTGGAACAGCAGGAAGGCGTAGCCTGCACGTAACACAGCAGAGTTATTCATGCTGCTGGGGACACCACGTATTGACAAAGACTCATGTTGGATTGAAGCGCAATGATAACTGTGGCTGAATACAGCTTTCTGCGTGCACAGCGGGAAGGAATAAGCTTTAACAAATAGACAGAGAAACGGACAAACAGTCCACACATGGCTACTAAGTGCTTCACACAAAACTGTAAATAAAAAACAGACCGCACACATATGAATAGTGGTAGTACACAGATACAAGGCTGACATTTCTCTACTGAATACAGAAATAGATTCCATTCAAATACATATCTGACTCACAAGGAAACACAAAGACACTGAAGCAGTAACAGGAATCTATATTTTTGAAGATACATTGGAATCAGAAAATACTACTGAAAAATGTACCCAGCTAGAAAACTCTAAACAATTGTGAGACATAATAAATAATTCAACAAACCTTTGGGTGGAAAATAGGATTTGCTCTCTGCTTTGTGAGGCCAGTCCACAAACAGGTGTCCAAAACGCCGGAAACTAGCAGTTATCTCGTCTGAAGTCAGAATGAATTATTGTTGAGAATTTGGAGATAAAACAAAAAAACAATTACACTGATAATTTATAGAGAAAGTCCTGCCTGACTATCTAAAAAAAAATACATATAAATTGCAGGAACATTTGAACAAATTCCATAGTTTTTATCTAAAGAAATGTGTAGTGTAATATCTCATGGTCTAATTTACAGTCAGAGTGATAATGTTTGTCAAGTCAATCAAATTAAATGCCTAAGATTTGACTTTGTTGGATTATGTTTTAAATTGCCCTCTCAAGTCTCCATCTTGTAAGTGTCAATCTTTTTAACTGTAAAATGATGAATCTGTACCTTCGTCTATGTCAGGGGGCAGTCCTCCCACAAAGACCTTGCGTGAGTAGCGTTCAACACGCTCTCCGTTCTGGTGAGGGAAACAGTGAGGGGAGCCCAGGCCTGCAAGACCCTGATCACCACGGTCATCGTCAGGGAAACCATCCTCCATGGGGAAGAGAGAGGAGTGGCCTGAGAGAGAGAGAGAGAGAGAGAGGAAGAGGAGGAGGAAGGGTTTATTTCCTGAGGAGTGATCCTGGGAGTTGTTGTCATAACAACACTACCCCTAAGGCAGTAATGATAACCGTACATACAACTTTTCATTCTATGTTGACTGCATTAATATTCTGGGTGGAAGGGGCAATCTGATCTGACATCACTTACAACATAATAAAGGCAAGTGAGTAGCATGCAAGGCACATCACTAGGGATTCATTAAAACATTTATATTACATTGTGTAACCTTTAATTAAAGCATGATGTCGCAGTTAGTTTCTAAACCCCTTAAACAACAGCAACTATATACAAAAACCTTAGAATACTATTAGAAAAACGTTCTGAAGGTAAAACAAAGAAGAAGAGTAAAGGGTAACATATAACACAATGGTTAGTAGGGTGGAATGTAACAAAATAAAAACATAGCTAAAAATAAAAGTGGTTTGAGTTCATTCCAGTCATGTAAAATAAAGAAAAAACAGTTTGAAAGTACACATAAAACAATACAAATACAATGAATGCAGAATGAGACGTGGTTTCTTTCTTGCATGGCCAGCAAATGTATTTTCCATGAAGTACTGAACATGCACGCAGCTTTTCTCTAACAAACGCAGCAATTCTCTGGTTAATACTTTCACAGTGGACTGTGCATGTTTGTGTTGTAGCGACTAAGCTCTCTCCGGCCTATTCCTGCTCCTATACAACCTGCCCTGAGCTGCTTTATAGAGATTTATGCAACAGAGTTAGCCTCAGCTTACAGTTTGTGCTGGTGTCAGTGGGGAGTGTGTGTGTGCGCGCGTGTGTGTGTCCGGGTGTCCAGCCATGTGCCTGGCCATGTGTCTATTCTTCTGTTCTCCGAGTGTGTAAATCAAATGCTACACTTTGTGTGTCTCCTCTCCTGATAACTTTCAGCCAAATGTGACAATAACATCTATTGTCTGAGCTAACAATCTTGCAAAATGTGTGTGTAAATGAGAAAAAAGAAAGCATAATGAGATAAACGCACAATTAAAGATGAAAGATGCATAAGATCACTTCTCAAGCTGTTGGCAAGATGCGACACTGAAGACAATCATGCAGACAAACATGTCACTTCACTGTACAAAGCGCTGAGTCATTCCAAAACCATTTACGAGCATTCATTAAACAACCAACGCACTGTAACGTAAAAAAAAATCATAACAGAACGGCTTCACATCACAAAGTCAGACAGTTTATTGAGACCAAGAGAGCTGGATTTGAGCCATGATTTTATTTTACCTCGTCTCCTGCTATAATTCCTGGCTGCATGTGGAATAAGGACAAATCCAAGAAGAGGGTATTTGTAAAAGGTGCATTATACACTATACCAATAAATGTGCCAGGTGCTTCATGACAATGGAGTCATTTTCCATTGTCTGTCCATCCCTCTGCCCTGTTTTCTATCAGTCAGCTGTGAATTATAATTAGCCACCATACCACTGTATCAACACTGCAGCATGGAAAGTATAAGTCCGTAGTTCAGAGATGTACAATGACGTGTAAGTTGATTCAACAATCATTTTCACCTGGCTGTTTATACAGTAGTTAAAAAAATTAAGATGCAAAGGAATTTAATATCATACGAGATAAAAGACACAGTTTCAATACCAACACCAACATTTTTCTTCTTCTCTCTAAAAATCCAACTGATTTAATCAACAAACTAAAAAAAGGGTTCACAACTTTGTTCTAAATAAACTTCACACAAAAAAACGAAATGTCCTACAAATGTGTCAATAACCCAACATTTACTAAATCGTGACATGCACACCAAGTCTCTCAAATATATGAAACAAATAGAAAACCAATAAAACAATTCACATTTGAATTCCAACTTATATGCTCCTATTATTTAACAAAAAAGCAGAGACAAGCCATTCATTTTGAGACTCCGACAGGCACGATAATCTAAGTGTTCCCAGTGGCAGCGGCTTTGTTCGAGTCTGTTGCTGAGGGACCACTATTGTGACTCACTTCCACAAAAAACGAATGAAACTGCCAGAAGTAATAACAGAACAGTTTCCGTCAAGTGTTTCTGGATATGGCCAGCCATTTCACAATATGTAATTTACCTTCTTAGAGTTACATTTAAGACTGTAAACAAAAAGCCTCATCGACATCGCATGATAACCATTTCAAACTCCATTATTGACTAAATAAAATCAATAGCAGCTCTGCGGCCAAGGAAGGTAACAGGGGACCAAGCAGAGAGGGCGGCGGCCATTTTAACATACATGTACTTTAATATGCCTCTGTCGCGAGGTTTAACACTTAGATAATTTTGTTGAGATGAATACAGTACTGTCTCACAGGCAACCATTTCTGTTTAATCTATGCTGTAGAAATCCAATTCTTTTTCTGCCTTGTCTAAAATCCATCTAACAAGTCCATCAGTCCACAATGCGGTTCGGCGTCATATGTGTACTAAAGAACATGCTCTATTTTCCCGTTCAATTTAATACGCGCCTTGGGACATAATGTTTCTTTGCACAGAGCTGAAGTGAAACTAATTAAAATTGTGGACACTGGAGAGATTGAAGCAGCGACCCCTCTAAAACTGTAAGGACACGGAGAGGATGAAGAAGTGGCCAGAATGCGCAAGCAATAATCCTCCGCTCCCTCGGTGGACTTTCCAACCCAGATGGACATTAGCTCTGGGGGGGGGGGGGGGGGGGGGGGGTGTGAGGTCAATGAGCGATAGAAAGAGAGAGGACAGAGAAAACAGGAAAGCAGATTGAAACAGAGAGGAGCGTGCTATAAAAAGATGTGTGTGTGTGTGTGAGCGAGAGAAATAGATTGGAAGAGATGGAGGAACAAGCTGATAAAACACTATGTGGGGGTGAGAGAAAATGAGAGCGAGAGATCAAGAGAATGAGGAATGCAATCTGTATACGCTTATGAGACAAAAAAGAGGGAGAGAAAGAGAGAGAGAGAGAGAGAGAGAGAGAGGGTGTGCAACCTCTGAATCCTGCCTATCCGCTGGCACCATCTGTCTCAGGGCTTCATGACAGCTCCTGACCATGTGATCTCACCATGTGACCCGGCGATCTTGTGAACAAACCACCGACCTCTCGTGTTTTACATCCTGGCCCAAGACCAGAAGGCAAAGGCTGCTTCAACAACACAATTACACAATGATAAGGGGAATGAGAGGTGGCTAAATATTTAACTGCTGTTGTGGAAACTGTGCCATGTCAAGAGGATTGGCCAGACGGGTTATTCATATACTGTTAGAAAAGCAATGTTGTTCTTCTCTAGGGGAGGACCATATGGTGAAACTGGGGCAGCTAGAACATAACTATTAATCTGCAAGGGAGGTTTTCAGAAACATAATGATGGGATATATTTTGGAGTAAAATATGTATAGATAAACTACAAACAGCCTCCCATTTTGCATCAAAATCCCCAAAAAAGGTACATCATAGAGTCCTACTGCTATCCTACCACAGAACATAACGTAACATAACACCCCTAATTTGCGTCCAGCAAGGGGATTTTGCAGTATGTGAAACACCGAAAATCAAATCTGCAAACATGAAACCCTGCAGTCAGAAAGAGGGATGCTATTTAAAGGACAAGAATGTCTTGGTCCTCACGTTAAGATAACACGCATATAGGCGGTCCCTTACTGTTGCTATTCTATCTCTAAATGACCCACCTATTAATCTCCTTTCATTCCCCCTTTATCGTACTACATATTTGGGGATTTAGTAAGGGGAAAGGAAAATGTTCCAACCAAAGGTCAGAAGTAGGTGAAAGGTCGTCAACACAAATTATTGTTGGTTACCTTAACCAACAGGAGGCAAGTTGGTGCATTTGATTTTATTCTAAAAATGTATAAGCAGACGGGCAGGACTTTTTGACTGCCTTGAATCGTTGGCAAGCAAGGGCACACAAGGCTTTTCAAATCTTAAACCCTCAAGGTTATTTCACAGCGGCCGGACACACAGTTTCAAGACAAAGTGAAAGACACAAAAGTCACTGAAGTTGGGTGAGGCAAACTTTATAAATAGCGCTTAAATGGGTAAAAGCTGACATGATTTACCTGAGAGAGCATATTTTAGTACAGGAAGCATAATGATCTTGTATGTTTTTTAACCTTTCATATAGACTGCCAGGTGGGTTCCTATTTTTAGATTAATGAGCAATTTAATATGGAATCAAGGACAACAACCTTGAAAACCTGGTTGCCATACGTACCATTGAGGGGCAGGGGGTTGTCTCCTCCTGGATGGGGGAAACCAAGACGACCTAAGCAAGGAGACACAGAACAGAAATATTTAACATGTTGGTACCTACATATTACTTCATTTGAAACACAAAGTTATGTTTTGAATCATGATTGATTGTATACTTTACAGTTAATATCCCGTTATTATATGCAGTCCCATTTTGAGATTTAACAGAACATGTCTATAAAAAAAAAAAAGAGTAAAAACAAAATGGCAGCCATAAAATTATAAACCCACAATCTGAGGAATCCATTATCAGTTAAGCAATTAATAATTTGGCAAAAGGCTGAGACCGTGATAAAGCTCTTGATTAATGCTGCATGCTCAGAGAAGAATATATTTAAACAATTCTGCACAAAACGTAGGACAAATCCCAAATACACGGGCACGGATTTGGTTTGAAAAAGCTGAATTGCACAGCAGAACATATTGAACACTGGGTGTTTTTGACAGTTCATTAGGAGTGCCCAGACAGAATATGCAGTGGCGATAACAGATATGAGAACACTGAGTGTTGCTTTCACATCAATCTCATTAGAGACTACATCTGTGGGACACCAACCATCTCTCTGCGTCTCATCGACCTCCATTTCCCTGTGTGTGCCTCTCCCTCTCTCTCTCTCTGAGCCTCATATCATACATTTTACATTGAGCCACTTGCAAGGCCCGCAAACACACGCCTGCACCCACACAAATACATGTTATGATGCCAAACAAGCTTCAAAGTTATGCAAGGCCTGCTTGCTGCAGAGGGATAATGAGACGAAAGCGCTGAAATAGTACAACCATTGTTGTATGGCTACGGACCGCCCTGTGATTGGTGCATTCCGACGCCTCGGTCACATGGAAATCTGATGGCCCCTCCCCCACACCTCGCCTATTCATCCACACAGTACTTGGTAGATGTGGTGCATAAAACAAATCAAACACAGAAACCAGGACGTGTCACCCCATGGTTGTGGAAGCTACTATACTGTACTATACGATAGTATACTAAATATTCCAATACATTCTATCACAATCTGGGCATTAACAGGTTAGTTTACGTATCATTAAATAATTACATTTCAGTCAAAATAAATGTAAAGGTGCCAACCAAAACCAGTTTGTAGACGTGCTAGATTTCTCTACACTGCAAGGCAAGATTCAACAGTTTATCTCCCTCTGTAATTTAGCTCAGTGATATAGTGTTTGAGCTGATATGTGCGCCTCCCAAAATCAAAGTCCATCCCAGCTCAACCCTTCATATTGGATTTAAAGAGCCTTTAATAGCCTCTGAGGAGCAAATGTGCAGGCACGTAAGCCCACCACATCCCTGTGTGTCTGCAGGGTGCTGCGTGCCCGCTCTGTGAACCTCATTTGCAAGCTGCTGGCTGAGTACATGTTCAGTGCAGTAACAGTTTTAGCACATGCATGCACAAGCACATACACAACAGGGCGGTGTGTGAGTGTGTGAGTGTGTGTCTGTGTAGTGGCTGAACAGAGGGATCCTTTCTGTCAGTCAGGACAATGCTGGAAGCGATTCAAAGCCACTTCTAGAGACATTTTGTCTCGCCTCTTCGCTTGCTTCATAGCACTCTCTAAGTTCAATATGTTCTGCTGGAATGAGAAATGTGTGTGCATCTAAACGTGCTTGTGTATGCACTCTGTCTGGGTTTATTAGAGTCGGGTGGGCATATTTGTGTAGGCATGCCTGTACGTATGTGACAGAGAGCAGGAGAGAGCAAGGGCCAGTTGGCCTGGAGAAGAGTCAGCACTCAAAGAAAATGTGCTGTAATTATGTTTCTCTTTTGACTTTGCTGTGAGGGAAAAGAGGAGTCACATAAGTTACTGCCACCCTTGGTACAGCAGTGTATAAGCCTGGACTATAATTATGGAAACAAGGAATAAACAAAGTAGAATTTTGAAGCAGACCAAGGGCTAAAAAAAAATCATGTGAAAGCAGTAAAGATTGGGGCACTGTATGAGAACACATCTGAAGAGGATGACTGAAGAAAGATCAGGTCAAAGGACATAAGAAGAATAAATAACCTAGAATGAATTTAACAAAATGGACAAATAATTCACATTCAACTTCTATAGGAAGTTCAAGTTAAAAATACTTCATAATGTCCAAACCCTACATAGTTTGATTCTTTCTGAAGCAGAAGCGTGTGGGTTTTCAATTTCCAAGGAAACTTGTTTTGTATTCAGATGCCCGGCTCTTGGATCCAACAGTCGCAGGAATCTGTGCCAGCATGGCTGGAGCTAAGACACCAGCACTAGCTAATGAGCTAACCTTCTAGTCTTCCTCTCTTAATATAGAGGGGAGATTTACTAAAGTTTGACAGCAGAACATTACATCACAGCTGGAAGTGGCTGAGCACAGTGGGTGTGAGGCTGAAATAAATACGAAGTGAAATTGAAGAGTCTGGAGCTGAGAGTTTTCACTCATCTTGTCATTCTGGTGGTGGAACTGTTTGAACCTTTCTTTGTAGGTCATGCACAGTAACGGTATTTAAATGTTAAAAAATAAGACATTCTAACATAAATTCTGGAAAAGGAAAACTTCTTGATACTGGCTTTTTGAGATCTTTTGTCTACCAGTTTCTGGGACTAAGCCCATTAGACCACAACCAAAACAAAAGATGGTTATCTTGTTTTAAAGTAACTACTCAAATATGTGTTAACAACTTAAAATCTACACCCGAGTCTTTAATACTCCAAAGGTGTTTCCCTTCAAATGACGATCATTACCAGAACTACTCCTTTAGCTCCTCCCTTCCCACCAACAGCTAACATTGGCCACAGTATTCCTTGTTAGCTAAGCACTCTATCTATAGTAACTGTCAGTTACACCCTCTTAAACAATAAACAACACTGGCTACCTGCTGCATTCAATAACCTATTCTCTGGGTTACCATTGACCAACGTTGCCTAACAACATTCAGCCAATAACAGATGTTGCCTAGTCTCTATCAATCAATAATCCAGGTCAGTTGGAGTCCAATTTCCAATGCAGGATTATTTGTTCTGTCAGCCCGTACTTTAGAATAAATTCCATTTAGAATACCAGTTTAGAGTTTCAGTTAGGTGTACCTATTTCTATCATTTTGTCTAATGAGGGGCTACTGTAAATATCAGCAACACGAATCAGTATATCCGAGTAAAGTTCAACAGCAAACCAACAAAAACACAAATTAATGACGATTGGAATTTAATTCTATACGTTTTACACTACATTGGTTTAAGCAAGATGTACCAAATAAACTGGCAACTGAGTGTATGCACAACCGTAATCATCAAATCCATATAAAGCAGAGAGCTTCAAAGAGTAGGAATACAGGGATTTACACTGACCCAGAAATCCAATGGACTAATCTCTTTAAAAGGTACAAAGGTACAGCATCAGCCTACACCAGTTTCTAAGCACTGTTTCCTAACTAGAGAAAGGTTTCATGTTCTCACTTTTTACTGGCATTATCTGGAGAATATGTTTGTTCTGATTGTACACTGAAAGATTAACATCCTCACACTTCAGGTAACAGATGTGTGTCTTTCAAACATGTGCCAGACTTTTTGTACAGAAACAACTGTGCACCATTGTTTTTATAAGATTGTTATTATCCTTCGTAACAGGAGGCTGTGCAGCTGTGATCGTTAGAAACTGATGATGGCCAACAACTTTAGTTCAGATCAGTGGGAGTCCTTCCATCTATTTCACAAATCCCCTCTTAAATACAAAGCCTAAGCTTCCATCCGCCTTGTATTCTCGCTGTGCCTCCTTCTCAAAATGAAAGAGAAAAGGAGGTCAGACTCATTGCATTGAATTTTCCAAGTGAGAAAACATTTAGCTGTTTTGAATTCAGAGTGGGAAGGAGAGAAAAGGAAGAGGAACACAAAGGTGTGACTTGAACTCTCGTGTTATTGTTGATCACAACAAGAAGAAGACAATGTCTAGACATCTGATCTGTGGAGGAAGTGAAACGTTGCTGCTAAGAATTAGTTAAATCGTGAGTAAGAGTGTATTAGGTATGATCAGCTCTACCTTCAAGTGTAACACGTAAAAATCAAGCCACACTTGTCCACACCTATAGAAGAACAGCTAAAGTGCGAGAATACACCAGGTACAAACTCATGTTTTTAGTTTAGTTTGTGTATGGATTATCAGTGACTGAAATCCAAACATTGATGTATTGAGTCATTATTTTGTCTTCTAGGCACTACGTACGTGCGGTCAACAGAGCGTACAATCGTTACTGGATGTTATATAAGTGTTTAATGTTCGTGAATTCAATCCTCACCTTTCAGGGTGTCCTGCTCGGCCCTCATGATGTCGATCAGGGAGCTCTCCAGCGTGTTCATGTTGAAGCTGTCAAATGACCTGGTGCGCTCCTACAGAAAGAAGAGAAAGACAGTAAACATTAATTACTTTTTCTTTCCCTGCTTCAAAGACATGACAAATAAATACATTGTGTGGCAGCCAACAGGCTTTCAAGTTGAAGATTCAGCTGGTCCATGGAAGCAACTTGAGCAATTAGATTTATCTGAATCTTTTTATGTAACGTTGCCTCAGTTAATTCAAGCTGATCAGAGAGAAAAAACAAGACAAGACAGCATACAAATACATTTAGAAAAATGAAAAAGACATAATAGCACTTCACATTTCTTTCTACCATCCCACGAATACATGCAATACCAAGATACTGCAAGGATTCCACTTCATGATGGACGCTGTTTTTATGCTTCTCACAGTTTTTGGCATTGGCCTATATAGCAGAAGTGACAAACAACACAAATTAGGAGTGAGCCCTAGTTTCACATGAGTGGAATCTCAAGTGATTCACTAATATATTCTGCAGACTTATGTAAAAACTGAGATAAAAGTTTTCTTTTTTGCCTGCTTAACTGATTTTTATTCTGCTCTAAAGATGTCGCCGTCCTGTTTTGTTTTTATAGCCCCCAAACCGAAGCTAAAAAGACAAAAATAGACGACTATGGGACAGGTATTTATGTTGGCATAATTAAATGTATCTATGTCTTATTGTATACTTAGATTATATTGTATTTAAAAAAACAACTGAACACTATTTTCGTTATCGTGTGGTTATTATGTGTTCTTAATATCACAACCTAACTGAGCTATAAATGCATCGTAATGGAAGTCAACAGTAAAACCAGCAGTAGAACGAAACAGGAGCCGAGCCAATTCTTGGGCAACAGCTTTGTCACCTACAAACAGGGGAACCTTGGCATACCATCCATACTGCAAATATTTATGTGTACGCACACATATGTGTAAGAGAAATCACAACCATGAATGTGTACACAAAATATATGCAGGCATCAAAAACATGGGCCCATAAACAAACACATTCTCCAAGTGCCATGCTGATAAGGCTTCTGTTTTGACTCCACCTCAGCCAAACAGAAAGAGAGCAGCTTTTGACAACAACATGATAACAAACTGATGAACTATTGTGGCTTCCTTGTATCCAAAACAACCACAGTGAAGACTATAGTATTGTATGTATATTCTCCTTGTTTATGTTTACAGTCAGCGCTAAATGTCCCCACAACATCACATGAATGATTGCTCATTCCTTCCTCTGTCTATCCCCAATGTTCCAGTTATTCTCCGATGCCACCCTAAAAGCAGAAATACCTTTAAAGTTGTGTATTCCTCATTTATGCGTCAGAGCGCTCACACCGCACAGAGCCAATGACTCTTCTGGCTAATGTTGTTTCCAATAAACTCTACATGGTGACTAAAATATTCATGGTTATTTATTTCCTAACTGTCTGGTCACGACTGAAATACATTTGTTTTCCTTTCTGCATCATACCCATTGTATCAAACATGTAGTGATAAAATACTTTAAAACTATTTGCCTTGCAAAATAATAACCTAAACCAGGCATTAGCCTTTTATGTAAAATATAGTGATGTAAATGCAGTATTTGTAAAACACACACATGAGCAATTTAACACTGGAGTACAAATATTTAACACAGGGAGAAGTAGAGCCTGCTGGACTTTAAAGAACCATGCTTTTAAAATAGCCGTGCCAATACATGAGAACATTTTTTGCTATTAGATTTAAGTCTGGAAAACATCCGCTTAGATTTGATTGAGTCTGGCAAGATGCTGACAGACCAAATAATGAAATGTGAGTTTTTTGATGATGCCATGTCTTGAAACTTGTGAACAGTGAGGTGTTATAGATAATAAAGCTTCACGCTGCAGCAACATGGCCTATATTTTTTCAGTCTTTTTTAACAAAGAAACTTCATTTGGTGTATAGTTTAAGAGAAATGTAACATTCCAAAAACAGCAATTATGTGCTCCAGTTTGAGAATAATAAGCAGGTGTAGAAGCAGTTCACATCAAGGTGTGATTGAGGTCTATTGTGCAGCCTACTTGAGATCTCACGTATGTATGTATGAAGAAAACAAAAAGGTGACAACTGTGGGCTGATGTTAACAATAACACAATACGAATAAAGTGTGACAATACTTGAACGCCTGTAAATTAAAATCTTCAAGTAGAAGTCAAAAGAAAATCTACAATCCTGACAAAATAATAGTACATCATTAAATGTGCAGCTCGATGTCAGTCTGAAAATATACTGACACAAACACTGTGTGATCAGCTCTGCCTTCGACCTGACTGATAAAGGACAGGCCTTGCACAACAAGAGTTACCCAACATGTCTGTCAACTTAAAAGTAACCTATCTGTATGTTCAATCCCTCTACATTCCCCACTTTGTTTTTCCAACAAATACATCTATGCATAACCTCTCCATCACACACTCAGTTATCCAGAAACCAGTTCATACAAACATTAGGCCAACGTCTGTTGAGAAAAGTCTGAGAGCAGAACCACCTTGGGAAGAAAGGCTCACAGCAAACCTTGTTGCTCAATGAACTCCACAGGGGTCAAATGCTAAAGGGTTCAGAAAAACAGAACTACGTCATATGACCAAGGGTCGGGGCAGGCAGGCAGCTTATTTTTTCATCTACTGTCTGGTGCCTGCACCCGAAATCCAATAGCTTTACTATCTGATCAACCAAAGACCAATTGTTGAAAGTCTGGCACACACTACTCGCCGATGAAACAGCCAAAAATCCACAGCCGTAGCCAACATTTCACCAGCGATTTCTCACACTGACTGAGGAACCATGCTAACAGAGAGATGACATGGGTAGAAGTACACACTCTCCCTCTAAACAAATATCAATACAGGGATATAGGCCAGACTAGGTTGACTATTTTCTCATATCCGCCTCAGTATCTTATGTGGACTTAGGCGATTGCTTTAGGTCAAATAAACCAAAAACTCAAAGACAGGAGAAGAAGAAACAAGAGAAGGACTGCTTAGTGGGGGGAAGCATACAACCCACCACTGGCGAGTACATCTAAAGCAAGCTCTTGAGCACATTACCCAGGACAAATACAGGGCATTAAAGTGCAATATGGCTCTTAGTTATGGTATTTCTGTAGTAAACTATTAAAACTGAGCCGGACGCAGGAGCCTTTCCTGCTTCTTTTTTTGACAGCTTCAATAACTGATTCTTATCTGTCATTATACTCTATTGTACCATCTCCTTGGTACAATTACAGATGTATCTTGGCTGATGTAGCACTGCAAGGTAATCCGATGATATTGCTTCAGGAGAAAAGGAATTCATTTTGTGGCTGAGATGGGCTCAGTATGGCGGACATGAGGTCTGGCTTGTGCTCTGCAGTTGCTAAGCATTAGCCTGGAGAGGTGCAGAGGATGATTAATCATCAGATTCGTACATCCTTCTCTCTCTCTCAACAACTGGCCAGCTGACCAGCAAAGTACTCATCCCTGACAGATTGCAGGGCTTGCACAAATACACACACACACAGTCACGCTCACTCGTTACATCCAGAGACACACACACACACACAAAAACAGATTAGCTGTGGGCAAGACACACAGGATTTACAGTGCAATCCACATCAGATCTATCTATAAAAGCTTGCCCATTCTAACCCAAGGCCATAGGTATAAAGATAGAGGACATGGCAGTACATGGTGTATTATTTGGTGGCTTCAGTCAAATATAGCCCGGTATACATGGGGAGGCAGAACGGATTTAATAACCATGAACCAATCTAGTTAAAGTTAATGGAATAGAAAGGCGAAAAACATCATTTTTTTTTTTACAGTGACCCTGAATAATGATGGATCGATGTGCATTAACCAGCACAGCAAAGTGCCTCTACCATCCTGACACCATTTTTTAACGTTTGACCCTGGATCAACAAATGTGTACTGACCTGATCTAAAAGCATTGGGTTTAAACAAGTTGAGAGTGAATCATCTCATTTGATTTAATCAATTTGAAAAGCAGCAGCGTGGGCTCAGTGGATCAGAGAATGTGCACAAAAACTATAAACCTGTGTGGGCATTGTGGGAGGAATGAAACATGACCTGTGGGTTCATTTATTAGTGTCAATATAAAGTCATTACATTTAGACTGCATGAAAAAGTGCATTCCTAATCCTATACTAGGAATTACCTTATAAACAGCTCATCTGAGAGACCTAACAAAATAGTACTGTGAACATTTTGGACAATGCAACTTAGCCAATGCTTCCTGGGCTCTGCAGGATACTAGAGCTGCCTTGAACCATTGTTGATGAATCTGTTAAGTTATTTCAAGCTAAAATGACAAACTTTTCATGGTTCCAGCTTTCCAAAATTCGACTATTTGCTGAATATATTCCTCCTTAGATTAGTTTAAAAACGAATATCTTTGGGCTTGGGCACATCAAAATCTGTTTTGATGTTCTACTTGTGTAGAATAATTGTGTCATATCATACAATCTGATGTATCTAGACCAAGCCACAAATAGACCAAGCCTCAACCCCAACAGATCTCACACAGCAATGATAGAGAATCTTGATTTAAAAAAAAACATCCTGAAAGCTAATAAAATGAAACATCTTAAATCTTTATTTGTTTAAAAATGTTAAATAACAGAGTAAATCAAATGACCTGCAAAGTAACAGAGCTCTTCATGCATGTTTTAATGTTAACCACCACATAACAGGGAGGGCAACCTCGAACATATTTTGATGACATATAGGAAAATAAAAATGATTAAATACAGCATGCTGGGGGTGATTAACTCCAACATTAATCTTCCATGTCACCTGCCTGTTAATGAAAAATGGAAGTAGAGGGAGGGTGGAAGAGTGGAGGAAGTCACAGGGTAAAGGACATAAGAAAATATATTTGGGTGCAGTATGATTTTTAGGTTTTGAGAGACGCCCAACTATTTAAAATTCACCTTGGATTCATTCGAGAGAAGGCTGATGTTTTTACCTTATTTTGTATCTATCTTATCATATCCCCGAGACAAAAGGGAGAGAGAGGAAACCCAAAGCAAAGAAGTGAAGGGGGAAATGGCAGATGAAAGAAAGGGGCTGACCGAGAGAGGCAAAGCTAGTGGCGAGTTATGGCAAAAGTCAAAAGAGAAGAAAGGAAGGCAGGAAATGGAAGCAGGTTGAGCTTTTGATGCTTTCGATTATGCTTCTTCCTGGTCAAAGAATTTCAAAGGCCTGCTATGACATTAAAAAGCCCCAACTGTCAAAAACGACCTATTACCCAGTGTCGGCTGAATGGAGTGTGTGTCTGTGCGTGTGTTTGTTCGTGTACTTTTAGTGGAAAATGAGTGATCGAGGCAGGGAATTAGACTGAACTGACACCTTTGTTGTGTTTACTGAGCTGGGCTGAATACAATACGACACTTCCTGCATAAATTCTGCTTCGTCTTCTTCTTTTGTTAAGACACATGGCAGAAGACATAGGCCAGGCACTAATTAGGGCTTATGCACTCATGGGCATGTGCAGATTCATACACACACACACAAGCTCTCTTATTTCCCGTTTCTGAGTGTCTTTCGAGGCTGTGAGAATGGCACAATGAGGCTGTATGAGCAGCAGAGTTATGTGCTTGCCAGAAAAGCTTAGGCCACTCATTAGTGTAAAAAAACATTTCTCTCATTTAACACCAATGGCAGAGGTAATGGCTGAGACCTGGGGCCTCTAGAGCCTAAAGGCTAGGAGTGTTTGTTAGTTGACATGCACGCAAGAGAATTTGCATGCACACTTCACGAATAACCGAAGGAAGGCTACCTGAAAAAAAGGAAGCTTCTTGCTTTAAAATAAAGCCTCAACATTATCAGGTACTTCACACGTCATAAATGGGTAAAGAAAATCACTGGATGATATCTGATACTTGCCTAAAGACCTGTCACATTGATTAGACAGCCTTTAAAAGAATAAGAAATGTCAAAAGGAAACAGAACGATCAAATCGGACAACAGGTGTTTCCACTGCAGGCACGGGGAGGTAGTTTAATAAAGTACGTTCATACAACAGCACTGTAAAAGGCTGCAGTATATCTAAGCTACACAAACAGAGAGGAGGGAGCTGTAACCAACAGTTACCCAGGCAGCTTACGGAGACAATATCCTGTCCTGGCTTAGATCCAGGCCTCTGACCTTGAAATTCACAGGTGAGGAATTAGTGAGCAAGGAAAGAAAGACAATTTGCGTGGGAGCTTATGTTGACTCCTACAATCAAAAAGGTTAGTTTTATTGGTGACTCCAAAAGAGCCCATAGGTTTAAATGTGAGCTTAAATGGTTGCCTAACATGCCAGCCCTGTGGTTGACTAGATACAGGTCCTGGGTGTACACCGCCTCTCGCCCAGTGTCGGCTGAGATTGGCTCACTGCCCCCTCAAGTATAAGCAGGTATAGCGAATGAATGGATAGAAAGGAAAAAAGCAAGAAAAGAAAAGATTTGCTGGCATTTAAAAATTACAAATCTCTTGCCTGAGGCTAGTTACTAGCTGACCAGTGTATTAGCAGTTAGCAGCAGTGTGCCTGGCCTGGAGCCCATCCCAAATACTAAAGCTGCTCTAATACAGCAGTGGCCCAGCCTTCTGCAGCAACAGCCACAGTCCTGGAACATTTTCTCCCTCTTTGTGCCATGGTGCTGGACACCATTTTGGATAAAATATCCACCAAATGGCGTATGGCCTGGTTCTCAAGTTACATCTACATATTGATCATATACACAAAAAGTAATGTCCTAGCCTTAGGCAATTCTAAGAAGGTGCCAAAGTGGGCAAAGAAAGGGATCTCAACTGTAGCAGTTACCTGTTTTATCATACCTCACCAATGATGTATTGTTGTTTTAATGGTGTGTTTGACTAGCATCTTACTGCAAATGTTACAAATATGATACTTTTTGGGGGGGAACTATCTACTTTGTCTATGTGAGCCATATGTTACAACCATATCTAGTCCAAAAGTGTACAAAGAAATAGATCAAATGGAAATTCCAAAGCAAAAGCCACTAATCCTTCATCTTTTGTCAGAGCTAAAATGGAGACGCTAGGAGAGGACTTAGAGTGAAACAGTGTGACAGTTCCTCATGGGTTCTGTTTAGTTCATGTTCACGGGAGCTGCTGTTTCAGTTACCAAACGTGGGGTTGCCTTGTGTGAGGCAACATGTGTCATGAGTCATCTGAGCTGTGCATGATCTCGACAAGACAAGACAAGAACTATTTTGAGTACAGTACAGCTCAGCAAATCTATTGATATAACATATCTGTCTTTTGCAATTTGTCAGCAAAGGCAATAAAATGTTAATGAAAATAAAATGGACAGCAGATCTTAAAGACTGAACTGCACTGAGGAGGCCTGTGACAAGATAAACCTGACACTTGGTGGCTTGTGTAATAATTGAACAGTGTTTCCTACTGTGACAGCTTCAACGCTGAAACATGATCTATATATCACACCGAAATGACACCTTTATCCTATTCAATTACAGGGAGTGGGAGAATACCATGTGTTAACATTTCAGAAAAACACCTGATATATGGTTCATAAAATGATACTTACAATATTATTTTACAACATGTCACAAAGAGAGAAGTTGCTTGTTGTTACAGCATCTAGTATGTCTGCTGTGAGTCTCAAAATATTATTCAGACATTAAAATTATAAATCCTAAATGGTTAAGTGTCAACGTATATCTTCAATTCTCAACAGTACATATTTATTTCTAATTTCCCAAAGCTATACTAGCAATCCCTTTATAAATTGGTTACACCTGCATAATCAGTCATTAACAAGCACACACACACACAAGCACACACACAAGCACATGAACACGCCATTCTTTGCCCATCCTCCACCTGTCCTTGCCGTATCAAGAGGGCAGAAGGACAATGCTACTTTAGCTGATCTGATTCAACGTGATGACATACTGCAGCTACAGTCATGCAAGCTTTAACTTAAATCTGACAACATGGGGACTACCAGGAGGGGCTCTCCATTCCTCAAAATGGATATAGATTCACACTTAGGACGGAAAAACAATTTGCTCATCTGTAGCCTTTAATATACAGCATTTACAACCATTTACTGTTCCTAGGTACAGTGTCAATTTGAATGCTGCTTGAAATAGTCAATTTTAGCATAATATAACTCAAACATTAACAAGGATTAGGCCCTAATGATTTGGAAAAAGCCAAATATAAACCTGACCCCATGACTACCTTCAGCAATTAGGGTGTTAGCTAATGGTAAATAGCTGCTCGCAAGGTAAGCTTTGCCACTTATTCAACAATATGCCTAAGACATGCCAAGACATGTCAGCACAGCGTCCTTACCGTTTGGCCTGTGGTGCTCTGTGAGTCATTAATTGCAAGTCGAGATAAGAAAACTCCTTGAAAGGTCACAGCAGGCATCACTTTCTAAAGTATAAACTGAGGCAATTTGCTATTTTGTTGGAAATTGCTTACTTGGCTTGCCCAATGGGTGGGCATGGCCAGGAAATTAAGTATTTCCTTACTTGTGGTCTAAAACCAATTAGTAATGCTGTTAGGCTATTGTCCGACAGCTGAAACCACACAGGCAAGCATTCAGACAATTTAATACTGTCGTCTACATCCAAGATAAAAAACAAAATGGGGAAACTGATGGCAATCCGGTAACTATGACTGACCAGAAGTTAATTTGACAAAGCACAAGGAAAACTGCCCAGAGGTCAGGAGGCAAAGGATATGTAAAGCACTTACAGAAGCCTTTTATCAGGGAATCAGGTCTAACTGGGCCTGTTGGAAACCTACTCTCTCCTCCCCCGCCTCCTTGAAACGACCGACAAAATCAATCATCAGCTAGATCAATAAAATTAATTTATCTCTGTGCTCCCTTTACCTCCTTTCATCAATTGTATTTGCTGTTTTCTAAATGTGATAATACAATTATTCACGCCATCTTCATTGTGAATGGACCCGGCTATCAAAATTAAACCATGAATAGGCTGGCATTTTGAAAAGGAGTTGCAAGGCTATGGCAGCATGACCAGGTGATACATTAAGCGATAATCCTGAAAACTCATTGGGCATTAGGCTCGGGCTATAAATCTACAGAATTACCTTGCTTCTGGCCAGAATAATAGAAATCCTATGATTATGTCTACATTTTTCTTTACATCACAGTCTCTGTCATCCTTGGTCGTCCATCCACACTCTCCTGCTTCCCATATTTCTAACTCCCTCTACCATTTCCGCATCCCTTTCCACGCCTTTTCCCTTCATCCATGATGCCTCCCCTACTCCTCACTACAACCCCCCAGCTCGTGTGCGTGGCACACACCACTGCAGTGCCACATTATTCATCATCAGGGACATACAGCTGTGGAAGTACAGAGTCCAAGGACTGATTTCTAAGCTAACACGGTAACAAATGCATCATGTAAATCCATACCCTCCCCCCATGTCTAAAAATAGCAGCTATACCAGATACTTTAATAAAATCAACAGCTAGCAAATGACACAGTGATCTTTAATCATTCTGGTAGCAAGTGGAACTGCTAAAAAATATTCACACACAAAACAAACATGCTTAGGTACAAAATCATCACAGGAAAAAATGTAATAGTCTCTTTGTATGAACACCATTGCATACTATCACAAGTAAACTGACCTGAAATGGGAAGATGTTGTCACTGCGGCCGACTCCTTCATCCATCCAGGACTTGGGGTTGAAGCCTGCGGGACTGTTGCGAGGGTACTTCTGGGATGCCACATGGTTGTTTGGGAAGGTCTTCTTCAGTGGAGAGATAGAGTTGATGGGGGTCATCCCGCCATTCAGCCCTCTGCGATAATCTCTGCCCTGAGATCCTCCCCAGCCACCGCCACCACTCCCATAGCCTCCTCCGGGACTCCAGGAGGTGGAGGAGCCGGGGGAGGGAGAGGGGCTCTGGTAGCTGGCTGGACCCCAAGGGGACGGGGGCTTGTTCAGGCTGTTGGACAAATGCGGCAACTGGCTGAAAGCCGGATTCCTGTGCGGAAAGGGCGGAGGAGGGTGTGGAGAGGCCGGGGAGCGTCGATGCTGCTGGTGTTGGTTATGAGGGTGTTGGAAGTGGGGGTGTGGTGGGGGAGCTGGGTGGTGCTGGGACAAGGCCGCCGCTGGTCCAATTTGAGGGGAGAAGTTCCCACCAAACCCTGGACTGACATGGTGTGAGAAGTTCTGGAACAGCAGGGGCCCGTTGTTGGCAGAGGCCGCGTTGAAGAAGCTGACGTCTTCATTGATGATGGTTGATGGCGCCGGTGGAATGGCAGCTGACCAATTATTGAAGCTGGTAAGTGATGAGGAGGTTGTACTGGACAGGACCTGGCCATTTCCCCCAAGACCAGACGTCTCCTGGTAATCAAAGCCTGTCAAGACAGGTGACTCAAGACGCAGCTGCTTCTCCTTTCCGTTACTTCCTTCAGATGTGCCGTTGTCAGTCTTGGCATCCTCTGACCGGGCTTTTTCCAGTTCTGAAATGATCCCACCACCATTTCCAACCTCCTGGTGACTCCCAGGGGACAACTGCTGCTGCTGCTTTTCTTGCGTTTCTTGCATTTCCTGTTGCTGCTGTGCTTTGGGCTTCTCTTGGCCCCCCAGGATTTCGTCTTGCACGCTGTTGTGGGTGGCAGAGGCAGGGAAGAGCCAGGGAGAGCCTCCTGTGGTGCCATTCCCTGCGGCTGTGGTGCTGTTTATGAAGGCAGCAGGGCTCTGCGACACATTTTGGTGGTGGTGTGGGGGCTGCAGATGCGGGTGGATTCGGACCGGGAATGCAGACTTGTTGCCAGTGTTGTTTTGAACTAGGACACCAAACCCGTAATCCCCCATTTGTTTTCTCCCCCCACACACAAATGCTATCCCGTGATCGTTTGGTCCTATTGAGAGAAGAGCACACAGGATGGCAGGCAATGAGTTAGCAGTCAGCCTTTCTCATTGCACTATAGATCAAGGGATTTAGAAACAACTAGGTGATGGCCATAGACATTTTCTAGTGACATAAAATATATATATATTTTTCTGTTGGGACTTTAAATCTCCCTTTGTGAATGCCTAGACATATGATAATCATACAACACTGTCATGAATGAGCTCATTTTAGCACTGAACAATATGCCCTTATTACTCTGGTCAGTTTAAAAATGCCAACCAGTTAACATTACATCTTTAGCTAATTATAACCCCGTGACGTTGCCAGCTTGTAAGTCTTCAGCTGAGCTGCTGGCAGCCACTAATATAGCTTGAAACACTGCTGTGTCGAGTCGACACAATCTCCATTTGGAAAGACCAACTGACAGATTATGAATTACCCACAATGCAACCTTTAACAGATCGCCGCTGTAAAAAATATCAATGAACGTTTATAGAATTAACAATCAACCGTTATAACGTTAAGAGCAAAATTACTCGACCTTGTTTGACAGCTGTCACCAGAGACCAACCCCAAAATGTATCAGATATAAGCAATTCCATGAATAGTGTCAGTTGTTCATATTACATTTTTACACGTCAGGTAAAAGCCGACAATCAAGTGGTTAAAATATACTAGACAAATTAGCTTGCCGGCTAACATTTCCATCCGTTGCTAATGTTAGCTAGCAAGCTATCAACCGTTAGCATAAATGCTAGTTAGCTGGACAGGCTGAATACAGGAGAATAAAAATGTCTTTTCACCTTCTGATCACCAGCTTCGACCTCGGCGATGTCTTTCGAGATCCTTTCTTCGGTTCGAAAGCGAAAGGTGGTGTCCTTGAAAAATGAGTGCGTCAGGCAGATCTTTTCAGAGACGATTTGATAGCTGACTCGTACAGTGCAGTCGGTCAGCTTTTTTTCTCCCTTCTCCTGACGTGTCCTGCCTGCTCAATGACACAGCTCTCTATCTTCTAATCTGGACTGTGTGATCAAAGAGCTTTATTAACGTGTCACTGAGTGAGATATACCCTGCCGCAGATGTTTCACAAGCCTTAAACGATCGGTTTCATTGTTCGCTTAATTTGCTGTATATTTTTCTCGCTAACTGTCTTTCTTACGGAGCAAGCCTGATTCCTGTATGCTTCTTTGGGCTGCCCCTCTCTCCTGAAACCGACCGTGGCCGAATGACAGCGAGAGATCAGCCGAGACTCACTTCCGCTTCTAGCCCCGCCCCTCTGCACCGTGATCACTCCCTCGCAGAGCCACACCTCGGTATCTGATTGGCTGGACGAGCCGGCAGCCTCGCCTTATTCCTACAACATTTAAAGGCCATGCACCAATAATACAACCATGCCATCCGTAAGTACTGCCTACTGAGGTCAGATATGATAAAAAAGAAAAAGAAAAAGGAAGATCCTCCCAGCAAGCACGGTGCTGTCCTTTCACGATTCAGCCGGTATCAGGTCGTGAGAAAACTGAGATACCCAACCCCCCCTCGAAAGGATGGCAATGCCTCAGAGAAGGAGCATTCGTTGGTTCAGCTTTTTGATCTCATGGTCCTTCATGGTAAATGTGGAAATGAAACAGAAAGCTGTGAAACCATTTCTAGCTGTTTCTGTTATAATCCTATTTGCTCCTATGCATTCGGTTATATTCCTATTTATTTATGTATATGTTCTATGTGCCATTCATTATTTTAGGATTCCTCTATACGGTTTTTGTTGACACTGTCATAGAGGTTTTGATTTATTTATAGTTTTTAGTACTGAGGTCACATTTAGTGCTCGTTGTGTTGTACAGGGCTGCCTTATATTACGATGTGTTTCTGCATCATGTCAGTAAATGTGAAGGTCAAAAGGTTAGACACTCCTCTCAATATAATGTATTCAGCAACACCACCTTTTACTATGAACACAATAATAACCATGTTTACATGATTCCAGCAATGTCAACATACACTTGACATATGAGCTTGGTAAAGATGCAGGTTATGGCAGGACTGTTTTATTGGATTGCATTCAATTGTACAGCCAGTTAGTCGCTTAGTGTAGGTGGTATTGCACATATGCTATGGTATATAAGATTAACTGTATACACAATAGCTTTATTCAAATCCTTTTTATAAAATGTCATCTCCCTGAAGACAGTTTTTCATTTATCATGGATAATAAAGGACATATACATGTGAACAATTAAAGGTGGGGTAGGTAATTTTGGAGAAACCAGCTCGAGTGCGCAAGAATTTGAAAGTAAACAACCGGAAAAAATCTGCCACTTCCTTCAGACTTCCTTACAGAGCCCCTCCTCCAACACACACGAACGCGCACATGACCAATGAGGGCACGAGATAAGTTTGTGCACGAGATGGAAGGCTGACAGGCAGGTAGGCCATCCAGTTATTTTAGCCGGGCCGGCTCAGATGATTGGTCGTGCTTTTTACAGCGCCACGGCTTCCACAGATGACATTTGTTTATGTATTTATTGTCAAAGCATTTAATATATTCATTGCTATCGGGATGTTAAGAGCATTCCATGGAATATAACAAAAAGTGTTTCTGAAATAAATGACATACCCCACCTTTAATAGTATCACATTTTGTTCTATGCCACATTTGATACATTTATAAAATATGTTTCTTATAAGACACTACATATGCATTTACTATATATTTTTATATATGTACTGTTTGTGTTAGCTTACTATAGAGCAGAGGTGTCAAACTCAAATACACAGTGGCCCAAAATAAAAAAATCGGTACTAGTCGAGGGCCGGACTGGGTCAATGTTTATTGCAAAAATTATTGAAATGAACTCATTGCACATATTAAACCTGGAACTAACTAAACTTAAATTATTGCCAATAAAAACATTTAAAAAAAAAGTCATTTCTTATGATTACATTTTTCCACAGGCCAACAACAGCTTCATAAAAACAATTTCCCTCAAAGAAAAAAACAAACATGTCCTGTTGTCACAAGAAAAAAAGTGCAGAAGGAAACATCCATTGAAACTCAGTGTGCTGCTCTGTGATGCTAGTTCAAGCCAGATACTTGGCATCTCATCTTGGGTGCAAGTTCATCAATGTTTGGGGTCAGGCTCTGAGCAAATCCTCAGGATTGAGTGAAGGTTTGCGTGCAATATACCGGCGGGCCAGATCTAATAGTAATTAGACATTATCCTGCGGGCCGAAATTAAATCCCCCGGGCCTTGAGTTTGACACATGTGCTATAGAGCCTAGAAGCAGGATAAAACAGCTAGCCCGGCTCTAAATATGCTGCACAAGTTCTTGGACGACTTCCTGGAGAAAGAAAACACCAAACGTATTGCCCAATATGTGTCTGACCATCCAGCCATTTTTTTCCCCATCACCCGCCCACACCATTTCCCCTGTCTCTGTATCTCCCTCTTTATCTCCCTCTGTGTCCTCCTCTGTGTCCTTCTCTCATGTACGGTCATTATCACCTCGAGGTCATCAAACAGCTTTGACTCTGTCAGTCTCGCCGACCCTCAACTGGCAGAGTTACATACAGCCACAAATGGCTATCTAATAAATCTGTCACTTCAAGTCCAGCTGCTAGAGAGTGATAAATTAGGGAATCCGTTGTGGACTGCATTATTAAATGTGTACAGAAAGGATGAGCATGCTATGGAAGGTGGGTGATGGCAGGTATTGGCAGGGTTAGGGAGTGGCCGGCTTTTAGTAATCCGACTAAAAAAAGAAAATAGATTACAGATGTCTGATAGTAACACTATTTACATTTAGCTTGCAAGCGGTGAAAATATCCAATGCAATATATGTTAGAGGCCCTAAAGTGATTTCTTTCTAACAGTACAACGGGTATAATTTGATGCTGGAAATGATAAAATGCAAGCTCTCCATGCGCTTAAAAGAGCAGACAAATGACAAACTCTACTTACTTTAAATGTTTGCTGAGACCAAGTCCTTTACAACTGCAACATTTTCAGATTTTCGAAAAGCTTTTACCCTACTAGGGAACACAGCTTTTTTTTTTATTGTCATTAAATACAATTTTAGAAAGGAGTAGCATGCCAAAACTGCATGATTTCGAGATAAAACTCTCAAGCTCACTTTGTTAAATTGTAGTTGTCAGTTCCATTTAAATATCATGTAAGGCGTTTTTCGTAATCAGAAAATGTTGAGTCTAGCGTGCAGGATATTCCAACAACTTTGTCTTCTTCAAAATTATATAGTTAGTTCATTGTGTGAGGATGATAATATAATAATTCAGCAGCTATCTTTGAGAAATAATTATTATCCCTGCATTGCTTTTTAATCAATGTAATAGGTCCAACACTATGCAGTACGGCAGCTAACGCTTGTCTCATGAATTTCTTTTATATTTTGTCATTTCCATCTGCGACCTCCATTCCATTTGCTCATTTTCTAATCTGCATTTTTATCCACAAACCAAATGTTCAAGTGAAATCTTAATCGTGTGCTTGAGGGCAAGATCAGCAGGAGGAAGGAGTCATGTTTGACAGTCCTAAATGTGCTCCAGCTTCACAGTATCTCTTGTAGGGCGGAGTATTCCTCTCACAGAGGGGTGGTTGTTTAGGCAGAGAGCTCAGCACAGTTAAAGGGTTTCAAGGACGGAGTAACCGGTCTTACAGGCCTCACGGAGACAACACCCTCTCCTTATTATTTCCCTTTCTCTGTCTCTCTTTTACTCTCTGTCACATTCTCCATGTCCTAAACCAACAAAAACATATATACTTGTGAAAATAGTTGTGTAACCTATACATCTACGGTTTGAATCCAAAATGCTACTGTGCTAGATGTGTAATTCAGCCTCTGTATTAAATAGCTAATAGCAATTTTTTCTGGCAATGGTTTTGTGTGTTTTCTGCCATATCCAAGACTGGATAGGTGCTATGAATAAAACATGGAATCCATTAAAGAATTAATCGCCTTTTACCTTAGGCATAATTATGGTGTATTCCTCCCAGAGTGCATGTGTGTGCACGATCATTGGTATGTGTGCACAGAGGTGTCTGAGTGCAAATGTGCACATGCTCATGTCATAACTCGAATGTTGGCGATTTATAACTTAAAATATTTCAATTCCAATCTGAAACAATGTCATGGTATTCTGATGTTAGAGATAATCCTGCAGTATTTTCACCGGGGCTTGGGAAGGTGAAATAAAGAAATGCATTATGATCCATCTAAAAACATGACTGTTTTCCAAGTTGACATTTGGGACAAATACATGGTTTTGACCTGTCAGCAATTGTATTTGTGTAAATTATGTATATCATTTCAAGATAGATGGTTTCTAGACAATGTAAGGACGCCTCATGATGTGCTGTTGTGTGTCTTATGAAATATTCAGGGAGTGTATGTGTTGCTAACAAAACGGTGTGGACACACTCCTGGGTGGCTTTGGGACACAACAAGGACCTCTGGGCACAGAGTGGAGTGGTGGGGGTGAATTCGATGATGCAAAAAGCAAATATGAGGGAGATGGATAAAAAAAATATAACAAATAAGGATCAGGGATGAGTGTGAAAACAAATATACACGAGTGTAGAAGCTAGAAGCTCCTATCTGACAGCTCTCCAATAAAACGTATTAAGAAACACTAAAACATGATGACCTAGTTTCCGTTTAAAATGTCTCTCACAAGGATTTTGAATTTAATTGCATTAATTTTAAACATATTACTTATATCTATGATCTTATTATTATAATCTTCACACACAAAGAAGACATGATAAATGTGGCAAAGCCTCAGTCAGCTTCCCAATATGTCTAGTCATATTGATAGATTTCTATTAATAATTCATTATTATTGATAACATAATTTAATATATTGAAAAGTAAACATCGGTGTCCCTATTTTTATATACACACATCTCCTCAGTGTTGTATTATTTTTTCTGAAAGCCATCTCACAACCTTCATCTGTCGAGTGTATTTTGCCACGTTGTATTTTCCAATGGGACTCTATACTAATTAAGCCAAAGAGGTCTCTGCCGGGGCCGCGACGACTGTGAAAATACACTTGGACTGAGTGTGTGTGTATGTGTGTGTGTGTGTGTGTATGTGTGTGTGTGTGTGTGTGTGTGTGTGTGTGTGTGTGTGTGTGTGTGTGTGTGTGTGTGTGTGTGTGTGTGTGTGTGTGTGTGTGTGTGTGTGTGTGTGAGTGTGAGTGTGTGTTGCAAAGGTCAGGCTGATTTCATGACT